TGAAGAACCATTGAGACAGAAAAGATGAAACTCATGTGGAATCATCCTCATGTAGCGTAGATTCAAGTTTGTTCAAATCATGACCCCCGGGGGTAGGGTGGGGCTAAAATGGCCAATTAAAGTTTTAAATAGGAATATACAGGAAAAATCTTCTGAAGAACCATTGAGACAGAAAAGATGAAACTCATGTGGAAGTTTTACATAGGAATATCTAGGGAAACCTTTTAAAATCTTGTTTTCAAGTACTTTAAAGCCATGCTTAGTGATATTTATAGGGAATCATCCTCAGGTAGCGTAGATTCAAGTTTGTTCAAATCATGACCCCCGAAGGTAGGGTGGGGCCAAAATGGCCGATAAAAGTTTTACACAGGAATATCTAGGGAAACCTTTTAAAATCTTGTTTTCAAGTACTAGTACTTTAAAGCCATGCTTAGTGATATTTATAGGGTATCATCCTCAGGTAGCGTAGATTCAAATTTGTTCAAATCATGACCCCCTGGGGGTTAAAATTAAAGCCCCCCCTTCAACAAACTTTCAGTTCTGATCAGATGTGTGATTTTTCCTATCCAATTGCTCAGGTAAGCGATGTGGCACCTGGGCCTCTTGTTTCTTGTAAATTTCATGGGAAAAAAACAAATGTTATTCAATTATGTATATTTTATATGCAAATTTAAATCATAATCAATTCTTACAGTTAGAATATAATAATAGCTATGTGTTCTTTATTTTTTTCATCATGCATTTACACAATATTTTTGCATAAACACTGTGTTTGCATCAAAGATTTATTATAATATTCAAGCTTTCTTTAATTTATTCTTACGAAATAGAGTTAATAAATGCATTAGTTTATTTATTTTTTTATTTTTCATATTTTCAAAATTATATAAAAGATATCCATTTTAATGAAGCATATTTTCTTCAGTGTTGAAACATCTTAAGTATTTAATGACGAAATTAATGTTTAACTGACGGCGTTAGGATACTGATGATAATGATAATTACTTAATTTAAATTGAAAACATCAGACAGAAAATTTAATGACCCAAGCTAACGCCTATGTTTCAAAGTGATAACTTATTCAAATTTGTACATGCAAGCTCCAAAATTACACATAACTACATGTATTTATTTATTTATTTATTTTTAAATCGGCGTGTCGTATCCAAGCTTCAATGAAGATTCAGTGTGATGGAGAATTTTTGCATTCAAACTCTGAAAATTACATTTATTTAGTTTTTGATTTGTGATGAAAGTGTAAAATAAATAAGTGAATTTAGAGAAGATATAAATAAAAAAAATTCCAGTAGCGAAAATAGCGATAGTGTTTAAATCATACTTACATTGTATTTCTGTTTTGTTTTCAACAGAATGAGAAAAATTATTTTCAGTTGTTTATTTTAACTTTCTTGTACTGAAACAATATCATTTTTATACAAATCTCCATCTCTTGCATATAACTTTAACAGAATGTATTCTTCCTAGGCATTCTGTGATCTAAAAAAATATAACAAATTATAATCTATACTATATAATAAGGATCAGCATAGCCTACACTTGATACTAACACACATTCTCAAATTAATAATCCTGCCATCACTGACACTTTCAGATTTGAGAGCAGTTGTTCGAGACTACAATGCAGATACTTTTAAAAATATATACTTATTTTAAGTTTGTAGCACAAATCAAATTAAAGAAAGCAGAAAGTTGAAAAAATTCAAAACCTGAAAGTTAAATTCAAAATCACATGCAATACATATGACAACTTTCATTTAAAGATGGCACGTGTGTTGTGCAGTGGTTAGAGCATCTGCTCTAGAGGCACAAACTAAGGACTTTATCCTTAGTTCGCTGGTTCGAATCCCACTGTGGGATGTGGAGACTGGTCCTTTGGACGAGACCATATAAACAGAGGTCCTGTGTGTCTGTAGGTGCTGGCAAGAAAAAGATCCCTCACTGCTCAATTGCCCTGAGTGCCAAGTATTGGACAAAAATTTGTAGATCTCCACTTGCAAGTGGTGGCGTCTCATATGAATGAAAAATTCAGAGGTTTATTAAATAACATACAATCAATCATTTTATGAGAAACGCAAGTTATGTGCAATTTGTAAACCATTTTCACACAAGACTTACCTTGAACATGTGACACACATTCAAGAAATATATGTATACAAAATATACTGGCATAGCTTTTGTGCAACAAGTCCAAATTACATACAGTAAAGTGGGTTATTTTAGTGGGGTGCTAATTTTAGCTTATTTTGGCATTTTGATGGTAGTCCGCTAAAATTTTAATCGCTAAAAATAGTCAATACTCATCGTAGTGTTAATCTGCAAACCGCTGAAACTCTGTTTCAGCTAAAATAAATTACGCCAAAATTTATTGGCATACCTTTGAGCATGCATAACGCCAAATTTTACACCCGCCAAGAAAACTTGCTATATATGGTACCTAACCATTGTGCTATTTCATAATTTTTTCTTTTATCTTGTTTATCGAGGACTGTGTGTACATTGGTATTATATTTAACCTGCAGTCAAAATTATAAAAGCAACCCTTCAAGCCATTTCATTTTTTCTCCCTGATGCCACTACATGCATCTTTATTTTTTCACAACTCGTATCAAAAATTACAGTTAGGATTCTGAAAATTTCCTATTTTGGTCAAAACCTTTTATTCTGCCATTTCCTCTAAATATTCCTCTAACGTGTGATAATTTGATAACAATTAATACCTTGAAATTTCTTTTAAAAAAGATTGATAAAATCAATTTCTGTGAATTACATCATTTTTATCATCATAAAGTCTGCAAGTTTTGGAAGTATATATATCTATAACCTAACCAACTTTATAAAGTAGTAGTAGTATCTTGATTGGCTTATACATTACATATATTGCCACATATAACATTTCTTAATAAACAATGGTTAACAGGTGTTACACAGGTGTTATTGCATAATTTTATACAAATATGTAGGAAGAAGAAAAAAAATGAAAACAAAAAACAAAAAAGTACAAAAAACTATGCAGGTGACTTTTTATATTACATATGTATTAATATTACTGTAGGGTAAAGTTTTCCCTCTTTTTAAAACATTCAAACACAAATTTCCCCAGTTTTTTTTAGTATATTTTCTGAATTGGAATTAAGTAATTCAATAAATTTTGCCATACTAGGTCTTACATAATAAAATTTTTAATATATTTTTCTCTTAACTCATTATAGAAGTTACATATTAGAACAAAATGATATTCATCTTCTATTTCATTTGATGTACAAAATATACATTTCGTTCACTTGTGGGACATTTAAACAATTTAAGAGGATGAGCATTTTCTATATAGGTCAGTATCTTACTTTTACTCTTAGTAATTAAATCTGTATGAATATGTTCATAATTTACGTTACCCCATACTCTGGCAATACAGGTACAGATCCAAATTGTCCGATAACGTTTGAAGATTAAGAATATTAACAAGTAACTTACAAAGGACAAAGACAGTGGGAAAACGAGCGTTACGCCGACAACGGGACATAATTCTTAGAAATTAAAAAAAAAAATCGTCTATTTATATTAATTATGCAATGACAAACTATTACGCTTCCTTCTACTAAGTAAATTTTAAAAGTAAACCATCTTCTCAATCTTCTTTAGCACTAGTAAAATGTAGCAGTCTAGCAACCGCTCATGATAAAACTCCGCTTAATTTGATAAAAAATATCATTAATGCAGGGGGTGGGGGTCTGGAATCTCCTATGTTTTGGGTGTTTACAGATCTTTTATCAAATTAAGTGGCGTTTTATCATGAGCGGTTGCTAGCCTGGATCTCAGACTGATCCACTACTGCTCATGTGCACTCACTGCACTTTCACAATATAATATAATAGGGGGAGGGGCAGGTTAAGGGTCTCACAGCCACACAATAAAATAATTTAATAAATCGTATGTATGTTTTGGACACAAAAGGGGGCGCTGTCCCGTAACACCCCCCCCCCTTAAATCTGCCAGTGATATTTACATGTTATATAGACTTTTACATGATTTCTTTCAAGACTCATATGTTTGTGTGCACAAACATTTCATCCAAGACATTCCTAATATGGGCAATTATAACTTTTAACGATTGTACTTACTTTTTAAAATATTGATTAAATTTTTTCATTGAAGATTGTGTCATGGACCCCCGTGCCAGTGCCCAGGACATAATACAATGTGACCTGTGTGAGACCACTGTGGTACATGTCTTGTCAACCTGTGCAAGGCCTGTGTAAGAGAACATTTTTCAGTTGATCTCTCAAAACCTCATAAAATTGTTCACTTTAAGGACAAAAAGTCCACTCTCATTTACCCCAGATGCACCTCTCATGATGAAGAAATGTGTGAGATGTACTGTACCCAGTGTAATGTTCCTATCTGTACTATTTGCCTTGCCTCGGATCAACATCTCGGACATAAACTAGCAAGGGTCCTGGAAATCCGAGACAAGAAAAGGGATAAACTCGTCAAAGAACAAACTGAACTGAGAGAAAAGATTTATCCAAACTACCAGGACATTGCCTCTGATGTAAAAAACAGAATGAGTCAGTAAGAAAAGGAATATGGAGATCTCTCAACAGACATAACAAAACACGGAGAGGACTGGCACAAAGAAATTGACAAACATGTCAGGAAACGTAAAGCTGAAGTTGATGAGATGAAAAACACACAGCTACAAACTCTACAGAAACATCTGGATGAAATAGACAAGACAATGTCTGTCATCAAGAATGAAATCAATTCAGTTGATAGTGTTCTAGAATCTACAGACATTTCAAGCCTATTCAGTCTGCCTTCCACCCTAGATAGGTATACAAACCTTCCAAGAAAAATTATAGTTTCCATTCCTAAATTCATCCCAAAGAAATTGCAGGCAGACCAACTGTTTAGTTTGAAAACAATTTCGTTAAAATCAGATGAATATGTCTACAACATGAAGACAACACAGAAAGCACCAGAAGCTGGATCCTCTCCTCCAGTCAAACATCTGCTTGATAAACCAGAGACTGTCACCACTATAAAAATAGACATACATTTTACGTTGCTTCCATTCCTTTACTATGTTGCCTGTCTGAGTGATGAAGAAATCTGGACAAGTGGAAATGACAGAACCATGAAACTCTACAGCATCAATCAGGGATCACTACTCAAGCCAATCACAACCAAGTCAGGGAACGATCCAACTGACATAGCAGTGACAAAAAGTGGAGATCTAGTTTATACAGATTACCATGATAGAATTGTGAACATTGTGAAGAATGAGAAGATAGAGGAGGTGATCAGACTACAGAACTGGAGACCTAAAGGTATCTGTAGTACCTCCTCTGGTGACCTCCTGGTTATCATGGAAAGTGATGATATCAAACAAACAAAAGTTGTCTGTTACTCTAGCTCCACAGAGAAACAAACCATTCAGTTTGATGATAAAGGTAAACCTCTCTATTCATTTGGTCGTTTTAACACATACTGCATAACAGAGAACAGGAACCTGGATATCTGCGTGTCTGACAGTGGAGCTAACGCAATAGTGGTGGTCAATCAGACCGGGAAACTGAGATTCAGGTACACTTTGAATTGAACATATTTTACTGACAAAGTCAAAAGGATAAGACAAAAATGTTCTTCAACTCAGATAGTCTTCTCCTTATAAAGAATTATCTAAAATTGTCCATAATCATGATAATAAAGTAAAATTATATTCAGTAACATATCAATTAGTATTGTCAAAGACTTTACAATTCTATATATTCATGATATATATATACAGTATACAAAAATTATATTTCTTTTGTAAATTCTTAAAAAAGTATGAATAAACTTTTAAAATTTCTATATTTTGTTGATCAAATTCAGGTACACTGGACATACTCCTGCTCCAAAGAACGAACCATTCAATCTACGAGGAATCACCACAGACAGTCAGAGTCACATCCTTACAGCTGATTATTATAATGAGTGTGTCCACATCATAGACCAGGATGGACAGTTCCTCCGTTACATACACTGTGCACTGAGTAGACCCTGGGGTCTGTGTACAGATACAAATGACAATCTGTATGTTGCTCAGTATGGAAACAGACAAGTGAAGAAAATCAAGTATCTGCAGTGACTGAGTAATCCCGAGGGACTTTGTACCGATACAAATGACAATCTGTTACTCAAAGGAGTAATAATCAAGCAATGAAAATCAAGTAGAGTGAAGTCCTGCAAGTGAAGTTATGTAGCAGTGTAATACATATTTACATAGGCCACTGAATATTTATTTCTACAATAACAATACATGTTTCTTAAATTGCTGATTTTAAACCAGTATACATGTTTTAGATAAATACTTCACCGGTGAAAATATGTATTTGTACTTTCTTAAACAAATTGCCCACAAAACAACTACCAAGCTAAGTAACTATAAAGATTTTTGTTCATTGTCTAACATGTCTTAAGCTGGGATTTTTTAAAACAATTTTATTTGTTTGACATATTTAGTTGAAATATTTTTCTCCTTTTCTTATCATACATTTACCATTATCAAAAATAGGCTTTATTTGTTTCAATTTTCATCCAACTTTTTATTTTTTTTTAACTATTTTTTTTTTTATTTTATTGTCTTTTGTTGTTTTTTTTTTATTAAATATAAATAAACAATGTCATTCATATGATGAGAATCAGCAACATGATAACCATGATTACCTTGGTGTCTAACTTGCATGTATAAAGTATGCTATTGTATATTAAATGCTATATCTAAGGTTCAACATTGTATGTCTGAACTCTTATTAATTGTTAAAAATGTGAAAAAAGCATTATGTTACATTTATGTTACAGATACATATATTTCAATAAACAAAAAAAAATAATTTATTTTAAAAGGTACATTGTTTTACATAATATTCAAACAGATATGCATGTACTTATCAGGAAATTCAGTATCCCTCTAGATACAATATTCAAACAAATTAGCTGCAGAACTGTAGCTCTCCGAAAAATATACTAACCGGTTGGTCAATATGATTTTTTCGGAGAGCTACAGTTCTGCAGCTACAAACAAATATACATGACTGTACTTATAAAGAATATTCAGTAACCCCCGGTATTTACTTTACACATCACTGATGCAATGCAGAGGGGTGCTTCAGGGAGATCAGGGCAGGCCTTGTGAACCGGGGAGGGGGGGTCATATTGTAAACAAATAATAACAAGATGTGTTTGTGAAACACTATGCGCCCGGCGTCAACAAAGTCCCTTTCTCCTATGGTTAAAAAATTATGGCAAAAAGTGGAAAAAGCTATTTTTAGCATATAGGTCTCAGTCAAGGTCACATGGTCATTGACCTTGGTGTTGTTTGTAAAAACTTTATTAGTGGAGTTTGCATACTAAATATGAAATCTCTTTCTCTTATGGTTCAAAAGTTATGGCAAAAAGTGGAAAAAGCTATTTTTAGCATATACCGTAGGTCACAGTCAAGGTCACAAGGTCATTGACCTTGATGTCATTTGAAGGAACTTTATTAGTGGAGTATGCATACTAAATATGAAGTCTCTATCTCTTATGGTTCAAAAGTTATGACAAACAGTTGAAAAAGCTATTTTTAGCATATAGGTCACAGTCATGGTCACAAGGTCATTGACCTTGATGTCATTTGAAAGAACTTTATTAGTGAAGTATGCATACTAAATATGAAGTCTCTATCTCTTATGGTTTAAAAGTTATGACAAACAGTTGAACAAGCTATTTTTCGCATATAGGTCACAGTCATGGTCACAAGGTCATTGACCTTGATGTCATGTGAAAGAACTTTATTAGAGGAGTATGCATACCAAATATGATGTTATCCTTCTTGGCTGAGGATCGGATATCCTTTTTTAGTCAATCTCTACCCAGAGTTGTTAAAAAACGTCAAAATGGCACCAATATGCTTCGTACAGAAACTAAGACAGAACAGGGGTTCCATACGATTCGATTGCAGCGTCAGCGGCCGCCATTACTGCGCATCAGGTTTGTCTTCGGTTTAGAAGTAGAACTAGAACGAATTTGAATTCTATATCTGTATACTAGTTCAGTACTATCAATGTAAGTGAGTCATGTTGCCATTTTATCATATTCCTCTTTCTAGAACAACCCCAGCTCACCACTCATACCTGTTCTGTACAGTTCATTGGTGGATGTGGGCGGGGCGGGGAGGGGGTCCCCTTTTTGTGACCAGAAAAGATATATAAACATGATAAAGGATTTATAAATCGGTTTTTTTGTTGTTTTGAAGATATTTTATTTTATAAAATATACTTAAAATAGCAGTTTTAGGGATGGGAATACTCGGGATAGGGGAGCCCTCAAAGCGGCACACACAAAAAATTATTTTAATTTCTTTATTGATTCACCCACAGGAGTTCGCGTACCTTTCAATTTTATTGAAGTTTTCAGTAAATAAAAAGATACGTAATACCTATAATAATAACACAAGGTGTGTTATTATTATACGTATTACTTATCTTTTTTATTTACTGAAAATTTCGGTAAAATTGAAAGGTACGCGAACTCCTGTGATTCACCAAACATGTTGGCATACAACCATGTTACATACATAAAGACAAATAATAAAATACAAACAATGAAACATGCATACATGCTGCAAGTGGTGATCAGTGAAGTCAACTATGCAGTGGTTTACTAGATTTATTTAAGGACAACTGTATTATTTTTCGATTTCATGAAGTGATCAATTGATTGGCTTGCGTGATAATTTATTCCTTATATTTACATGCTTTGATTCCGCCAATCCACGTGCTCCAAGCACTGCTTCTGTCTGGGAATGCCTAATTGATATATTCAGCAAAACTGATATGATAATCTGATTAAGCATGTCCCAAATATGTAAAATACACAAAAAAAAATTATAAAAAGAAGTTTTAAAGTGGATTTTGTAAGCTCGGTAAGGGGAACTATTTCTTCTCTCAGAAGACCTACAGCAAGAACGATAACTCGCGTTAATAACAAATCAGCTATTCACCAAAACATATCAAGAAAATGTAATTATCAGAAAAATGTCATTAAAAATTAATAAAAAGGACGAAAAAATTAATCATTGGAGATACTTTATATACATAAATCAAAGATAAAAAAAATGCAATATTCAGTCAGATACAATTCTATTTAAAAAAAAAATAATAATAATTAGTTATTAAGGAGGAATGCCACACCAACTTTTTATTTTATAGATCTCTGAGTCAACCTTTTAAAACAATGGTTTCAGCATTGAAAGGCCGACATAAGCTCTTATTTATTTTACATGAATTTTTTGTATTTTTTCAAAGAAAACGAAAAAAATTCATTACATCCAAATCAAATGCTTTCTTGTCAAATTTTTGCTGTAAATGAATGCATCACATGAATACCTAATAAAATATGTTAAGAAAGTCTGGTTATACTTTTAAATTTTTTCTATAAAAAATTATTTATGAAAATAAAGCACATAATTTGTGAATATTTTTTAAACGTGTGGTTAAAATCTTCTTAAAACAAGCCACAACTGGGGAGAACATGTTATCTAATCATATTTTTAAAAGAAATTGAAACGAAATTGAGAAATTTTAGAGAAATTAATTTTTTGTAATTGTGGCCAATCCCGAGCAAAATTCAACCGATCCCGACCATAATTGTATAATTATGGGAAATAAACAGCATTTTTCTAAAAACACTAGTCTGATTAGGTGTTATAAGGGTTAAAACATTATAGAACCTGAAAATAAAATAGATTTCTTCATTGTAAATACTTGAAGAGGCAAAATATTTGCATTTTATTCATTTTGTGTTAATTTTGATCGGGATCAGTTTAATTTTGATCGGGTTAGGTCCAAATATTAAAAAAAATAATTTTTCTAAAATTTCTCAATTTCGTTTCAATTTCTTTTTAAAATATGATTGACAAACATGTTGTCCTTAGTTGTGACTAGTTTTATGGTGTTTTTAACCATAGGTTTAAAAAATATTCAAAAATAATGTGTTTTATTTTCATAAATAATTTTGTATGAAAAAAATTAAAAAGTCTAACCAGACTTTCTTTACATATTTTATAAGATATTCATTTGATGCATTCATTTACAGCAAAATTTTAACAAGAAAGCACTTAATTTGGATGTAATGATTTTTTTTCGTTTTCTTTGAAAAAATACAAAAAAATTCATATAAAATAATTAAGAGCTAATGTCGGCCTTTTAATACTGAAACCATTGTTTAAAAAGGATGACTCAAAGATCTATAAAATAAAAAATTGGTGTGGCATTCTACCTTAATACCTTGTAATGTCATTTATAACATCTGGAAATTTTTATAAGATTTGCATTTATGTAGAGAATGAAAATCTTGAAATTGCAGTTAAAAGAATTTGAAGTAAATTCTCAAGAAGAATACAGACATAATCACTTTCAAAATCTTATTTCCAAGTCAAAGCATCATTTTTTTTTCAAAATATGCATGCATTTGTGTGATAACAAGCATGTTTATTATTTTATTCAATTTAAAAAAGTGTGTATTTTCTTTTAATTTAATAATTGAATGATATACCTGGTATCTTCAAGATTGATATAATGTAAATGTATAATTTAGCTCAAAATGTAAAAGAAATAAACGTCCTTATTATTCATATTATAATGCCTATTTCTTGGCTTACAGCATGTTATCTGGAAATATACATTTAATTTAGTTTAGAGGATGACCATTTTGAATATTAAAAAAAGGCAAAACGTAATTAATTTTATTAAGTTATATTCTGAATAAATGCACAATTATTTTATTTGTTTATTTTTGCTAGCATAAAATAAATATTTGTTTTTATATCTTTGCTCTGTTGACTGCAAATTAACATTAATCAGAGCAAGTGAGGTGTGTTGATAATTGCAATCAAAACACGGACATATCCTCAGGGTGACTGTGTATACAAGAAATCAGTGAAGATCGAAGCCCTTGGTACAGAGACAAATCCACAGCATACATATCAATAGTTTGAACTTGAATAGTTAATATTCACCCCATAAAACGTAATTTAAAAAATTACAAAAAATTACAATATTTATTAAATATTAACTAATAGATTTCAAGCAGAATATTAATTTTAAAAATGAAATAATCATGATAAATTATTTATATTTTTAACTTCATCAAAATTCATCATCCAGCTGATTTCTTTTTCATAATTAAAAAAAAACTCAACAAACTCAACAAAATCATTTGCAATTTTTTTTTTATTTTGTCTTATACATATTCTTCCTATAAACTTCACAATATAAATGAGCGCGTTGTTGTTTACAAGACAAGTCATCCAGAGTTATCGTTCTTGCCGTAGGTCGTATTAGAGAAGAAATAGTTCCCCTTATCGAGCTTAAAAATACACTTTAAAACTTCTTTTATAAAACTTTTTAGTGTATTTTACATATTTAGGACATGCTTAATCAGAATATCATATCAGTTTTGCTGAATATATCCCCCATTTTTGTAGGTCTTCCGTAGGTCTTCAATTACCTGTTGGTCTTCAATTAGGCAGGCCGCTTCTGTCTAGCTCTTTGTTCCGCCCTGCATGTGTTTTTTTTTTTTTTTTTTGGGAACCGCACCAATACATTGATTTACAATTTGTAATTTTATCACGGACAAAGACATTGGAAATGTAAATATTATATTGTAATGTATATTTCGGACACAAAAGGGGGGTGCAGGCCCCCTACCTCCCCCCTTCCTTAAATTCGCCAGTGCTTGTATACATGATACATATAATTAGGCCTTAATTATATGATTTTCTTTCAAGAATGATACGGTTGTATGCAGAATTTATTTATCTAAGACATTCAAAATATGAACATGGATGATTATTAACAGTAAATTGAAAACTTGACATTTTTCTTTGAAGATTGAGTCATGGACCCCCGTACCAGTGCCCAGGACATGATGCAATGTGCCCTATGTGAGACCGCTGTGGTACAGATGCACTGTGATACATGTCTTGTCAACCTGTGTAAGGCCTGTGTGGGAGAACACTTTTCTGCTGATCTCTCAAAACCTCATAAAATTGTTCACTTTAAGGACAAAAAGTCAACTCTTATTCACCCCAGATGCACGTCTCATGAAGAAGAAACATGTGATGTATATGAAGAAACATGTGAGATGTTCTGTACCCATTGTGATGTTCCTATCTGTACTATTTGCCTTGCCTCGGATCAACATCTCGGACATAAACTAGCAAGGATCCTGGAAATCCGAGACGAGAAAAGGGATAATCTCATCAAAAAACAAACTGAACTGAAAGAAAAGATTTATCCAAACTACCAGGACATTGCCTCTGATGTACAAATCAGAATGAGTCAGTTACAAAAGGAATATGGAGATCTCTCAACATTCATAACAAAACATGGAGAGGAGTGGCACAGAGAAATTGACAAACTTGTCCAGAAACTTAAAGCTGAAGTTGATGAGATGAAAAACACACAGTTACAAACTCTACAGAAACAACTGGATGAAATAAACAAGACAATGTCTGACATCAAGGATGAAATCAATTCAGTTGATAGTGTTCTGGAATCTACAGACATTTCAAGCCTATTCAGTGTTCCTTCCACCCTAGATAGGTATACAAACCTTCCAAGAAAAATTACAATTTCCATTCCTAAATTCATCCCAAAGAAATTGCAGGCAGACCAACTGTTTAGTTTGGAAACAATTTTGTTAAAATCAGATGAACATGACGACAGCATGAAGACAACAGAGAAATCACCAGAAGCTGGATCCTCTCCTCCAGTCAAACAGCTGCTTGATGAACCAGAGACTGTCACCGCCATAAGCACTGAGTATGAAAAAGCTGAATCCTCTCCTCCAGTCAAACAGCTGCTTGATGAACCAGAGACTGTCACCACCATACACATTGGGTATAGAGAACTTTACCGTGTGGCCTGTCTGAGTGATGAAGAAATCTGGACAAGAGGAAAGAGCAACACCATGAAACTCTACAGCATCAATCAGGGATCAGAACTCAATTCAATCACAACCAAGTCAGGGAACAATCCAACAGACATAGCAGTGACAAAAAGTGGAGATCTGGTTTTTACTGATAGAGATGATAGAACTGTGAACATTGTGAAGAATGAGAAGATAGAGGAGGTGATCAGACTACAGAACTGGAGACCTTGGGGTGTCTGTAGTACCTCCTCTGGTGACCTCCTGGTTATCATGGACAGTGATGATTACAAACAAACAAAAGTTGTCCGATACTCTGGCTCCACAGAGAAACAAACCATTCAGTTTGATGATAAAGGTAACCCTCTCTATTCATCTGGTGGTTATGACAGATATATAACAGAGAACAGGAACCTGGATATCTGTGTGTCTGACAATGGAGCTAGAACAGTAGTGGTGGTCAATCAGGCCGGGAAACTGAGATTTAGGTACACTTTGAATTGAACATATTTTACTGACAAAGATAAAAGGATAAGACAAATATAGTCTTCTCTTTATACAGAATTATATAAAATTGTTTATAATAAAGTACAATTATTTTCAGTAACAAATCAATTAGTAGTGTCAAAGTCTGTACAATTCTATATATTATACATGATATACAGTATACAAAATTATATATCTTTTTAAATTCTACCAAATTCTTAAAAAAAAAATATGAATAAACTTAAAAAAATTCTATATTATGTTGATCAAATTCAGGTACACTGGATATACTCCTGCTGCAAAGAACCAACCATTCAATCTACGAGGAATCACCACAGACAGTCAGAGTCACATCCTTACAGCTGATGATAACAATGACTGTGTCCACATCATAGACAAGGATGGACAGTTCCTCCGTTATATAGACTGTGAAGTGTGGAGTGAACCCCAGGGACTGTGTACAGATACAAATGACAATCTGTTTGTTGCTCAACAGTTGAACAGTCAAGTGATGAAAATCAAATATCTGCAGTGACTGAGTGAACCCAGGGACTGTGTACAGATACAATGACAATCTGTAGCTCAAAGGAGTAATAGACAAGTAATGAAAATCAAGTACAGTGAACAGGGTGAAGTACTGCAAGTAATGTTATATAACAGTGTAATATTTACATAGGTCACAGAATATTTATTTCTAAAAAATCAAGACATGTTTGTTATAATGCTGATTTTAAATCAGTGTATATGTTGTATGTGTGAAAGATAATATAAGATAAATACTTCACCGGTGAAAATATGTATTTGTGTACTTTCTTAAACAAATTGCCCACAAAACCACTACCAAGTAACTATATTATTATACCTCATATAAATAAACACACGTAAAGAGGAATCTGATTGGCTGAGGCAGTCACATGACCGTCGTGTTCTCCCTGCAACAAAACTTCGTGTTTCCCGCATTCGGTTCACCTCGGCTGACTACGCTATCCTACATCTAGATGTAATCAGCCGAGGTGTACAGAACGTGTTTCATGTCGTGTTCCCGATTGTGACGTCACAATGCAGCAAATGCGATGATTAATACTGAATTCGATTGTTTAAATCTTTAATTAATTATGTCGATATAAAATCTATTAAAATATAAATAGTTAGAAAAGTGTTGTCATGAGTGGGGAATGAATGTTAAGTACTACACTACAGTGTGTAAATCAGAATGACTTGTCACGAAGGTTTTTTTTTTTATGAAACGCAAGTGGTGTGACCTACACCTATTGGTATTTCATATTGTTCTCATCAAATGTTTACTTTATTTATTGGACTCTCTTTATATTTTCTGCATTGTGCTTGATTCGGTATAATAAAATAATTATTGCATGAATGTTCGGGAGACATGAAGATTTCTTCGCCCATGAAAAATCATATTCCCCACGGGCGTTGCCCTCGGGGAATATGATTTTTCATGGGCGAAGAAATCTTCATGTCTCCCTCACTATCATGCAATAATTGTATAAAGATTTTTGTTCATTGTCTAACATGTCTAAAGCTGGGATTTTTAAAACAATTTGTTTTACATTTATTTAGTTGAAATATTTTTCTGTTTTTCATATCATACTTTTACCATCATCAAAAATAGGCTTTATTTGTTTAAATTTTCATCCAACTTTTTAATTTTTTTAAATTTATTATTTTTAATTTTATTGTCCTTTTTTGTGTTTTATTAAATATAAATAAACAATGACATTCATATGATAAGAGTAGAATCAGCAACATAATAACCATGATTATCTTGGTGTCTTAACTTACATGTATAAGGTATGTCATTGTATATTCAATGCTTTATCATGCTTTATATAAGGCTCAAAATTGTATGTCTGACCTCTTATTAATTGTTTAAAATGTGTATAAAAAAAAAAACATTATGTTACATTTATGTTAATACAGATACATATATTTCAATAAACAAAATAATTTTAAAAGGTACATTGTTTTACATAATAGTCAGACAGATATACATGTACTTATCAGGAAATTCAGTAACTCCCGGGATATAATATTCAAACAAATTAGCTGCAGAACTGTAGCTCTCCGAAAAATATACTGACCGGTCGATCAATATGATTTTTTCGGAGAGCTACAGTTCTGCATCTACAAACAAATATACATATACTTTTAAGGAAATTCAGTAACCCCTGGGATTTACTTTATACATCACTGATCCAATAGAGAGGGATGTTTCAGGAAGATCAGCATTCAGGTCAGGCCTTGTGAACCGGGGGGGGGGGGTCATATCGTAAACACAGGTAATAAAAAATCACTTGTAGTATCTAAGAGTAGGAATTTTTATAAAGGGTTAGTTTTAAATAATTCAGACGTGATTCTGTACATTTTGATGTACATATCATATCAAAATCAAGATGAACTTATGCACACAACTGAAGAAGATAAGATGTGTTTGTGAAACTATGCGCCCGGCGGCAGCAAATTTCGAAAAAAGCTATTTTAAGCAGGCACGTAGCAACATGGGGGAGGGGGGTGGTGGCCCACCTACTTTTTTTGCCAACACTACTTTTACTATTGGAAATATATATTGAAAGGCTGTTTGGCCCCCTCCCCACTTGACACTTAAGTAAATTGATATGAAGGGAAAACAGTAGTGTTTAAGGTTAAAAAATTGGATATTGAAAGGAATTGGTAGTTTAAAAATCCCCCCCCCCCCCCCACGAAATAGGATTTTCAAGTTTGCGTGAAAAATTTTTAGGTAGTGGTTTTTTTTTAAGCTTGTCAATTTTTTTCAGGTAAGACAGAATAATTTCTTTGCCTGGCCCCCCACTTTCAAAATCGATGCTACGTGCCTGTTAAGCATATAGGTCACAGTCAAGATCACAAGGTCATTGACCTTGCCTGGTGTCATTTGAAATAAATTGATTAGCAGAGTATGCATACCAAATATGAAGTCCTTGCATGCACCTCTCATAGTTCAAAGTTATGGCGAAGGTACGGAAAAGCTATTATAGGTTACAGTCAAGGTCACAAGGTCCTTGACCTTGACATTTGAAAGAACTTAAATAATGGAGTATGCATGCTTAATATGAAGTCCCTACCTCTCATGGTTCAGAGTTATGGAGTATGCATGCTTAATATGAAGTCCCTACCTCTCATGGTTCAGAGTTATGGAGTATGCATGCTTAATATGAAGTCCCTACCTCTCATGGTTCAAAAGATATGGCGTAGGTTAAAGTTTGCGGAAAAATACTAACCCCTCTCCCCTCTAGATATGACAGTGTGTTTTACTTTATGAAAAAATCCGGAGTCCGGAGTTATCATTAATTTTTTCTTTTAAGTTAAATTGAAGTTGTTTTTTTTTACTTTCTTTTTATATTAATTTAGAAGAAAAACACAGCCCCCCCCCCCCTTAGCCCCGATGCAGCCCCTCCCCCTTTCCGACGCCGATGAAGTTTATTCATAAATAAAAAAATGAACCATCACCATCATCATTGAGCCTTCATTTTGATTTGTTTAATCATGTTAATTATTTTCTATAATGATAGACGCGTTATCATCTTTTTTTTTTTTTTTTTTTTTTTTAGAAATTTATACAAATCTCCATCTCTTGCATATAACTTTAACAGAATGCGAAATTAATAAATATGAAATTTATAAGAATGATTCATCGACCCCAATAGATATAAGAGCGATACAATTTTTTTTAATCTAGAGAATTTTATGCCTTTTTTTTACCTACAGTGTACAACTGTACTAATCTCTGCTGAGATTCTGCTAGGCTAGATATTTGGACTGACGCCTACAGAATCTCTGGACACTTCTTCATAATTCATGTCTGGAAATTGAGCCCCAACTTTGGTCGACTATAGTAAGAATTATTTACATAGGCAACACTGCCGCTCGCTTCAATTTAGTCATTTGGTTGTTTATTTGACTCTCTGTCAATTTAACCAGGCGCGGATCCAGGATTTGGAGTTGGGGGGGGGGGGGCGCCAAAATTAGGCAAGGTGTCTGGGGGGCGCCTTGAGGCCCCCAGTGGGTCAAGGGCAAAGCCCTGGTGGGGGCCCAGGGGGAGAAGCCCCCGGAAGCTCCTAGATTCTAGAGATTTTGAAGGGTTAAAATGAGGTCTACCAAAGCCTTGGTGGGGGCCCAGGGGGCGAAGCCGCCGGAAGCTCCTGGATTCTAGAGATTTTGAAGGGTAAAAATGAGGTCTACCGAAGCCCTGATGGGGGTCCAGGGGGCGAAGCCCCCGGAAGCTCCTGGATTCTAGAGATTTTAAAGGGTGAAAATGAGGTCTACCAAGTAGACATATTTGATTTACGCTAACTTTGACAATTTTAGGGGGGGGGGGGGGAGGCGCGCCGGGTGCGCCCCCCTTAAATCCGCCACTGTTAACTTACTGTTTAGGCATGTAAATCCCAACATAAAAATATTCACTGACATCTCCATTCAAAAACATGGCTCTTGTGACGAAATTGTTTACCTCCTCAAATGTTGGGATTTACACACCTAAACAGTAAGTTATGTAGAAATACAATGAAGCGCATTGAAGTGGTAAAATTTTCCGTTCGAATGGAACATTTTGAGCTATATTTAGAGTGTTTATTGTCATCTTTTGACACGCCCATTTCTTTAGAAATTGATAAAACGGTCAAGTTGTTTCTTCAAATACCTGTAGAACAGGTTTTCCATAAATATAATAGCCAATGAAATTGAGGATCTAAATAAACACCGAGTAAACACGTGTTCGACAAAAACATGTGTTGTGGTAACTTCAATAGACATGGATAAGTTCAAAAATATGCATATATTCGTTGCAATTTGTGTTTAACAGAAGCGGGGAGTATCTAACTCCCTCTTCTATTTTTTTAAATCTCCATTTCAGTGTAACTCATGATGCTTGTCGCGAAGAATGGGATGTCCTAAAACTACGACGAATATTACTTAATTTCTCGTTTCTAAAAATATGGGCGTGTCATTATGTTATAATTGACCTTCAAAACATGACTCAGAACTTTTCATCCAAACAGAGAATTTTACCAAGTGCTTCAATGCGCTTCATTGTAGTGACAGAGAGTCAAATAAACAACCAAATGACTAAAATTGAAGCGAGCGGTAGTGTTGCTTATATAAATAATTCTGTAGGCGTCAGTCCAAATATCTAGCCTAGCAGAATCTCAACAGAGATTACAACTGTACATGTCTGTGCAGGGGGGGGGGGAAGCTTGGGAGACGAGTGGCCACATCATGTGCACTTTTTGAGATGTTTAATAAATTACTATACCAAAGGCTGCAACCCTACAACCCCCTCCATCGATTGCACAAAATTCAAGCCATATCAATCACTAAAGTTAAACCCAACCCTCGCCCCACCCCCGCCCCACCCCCTTTTTTCCTGAAAAAAAAATGTTTTTTCCGGAATTAATTGTACTGTACGTTAATGGTTTTAAACTTTACCGCATTGAATTCGCGGGAAACAGAGAGAAAACTCGTACACCGATTGCTGGGGTGACTAGAACTAAGAAGACTTACAGGGGCTAACGATTGAACTTCACAATAACTATGGGGGTGAGATCTTAACTTATGGTAGGACAGTGTTTTACTTTAATAGATTTTAATTAAATTGATAAATCCATATGTAATGTTTGTTTACGTTTTTAGCGGAAATCAACAAAAGGGAAAGAAAGGAAAAAGAAACGAAAGGAGGTAAGGTGACAAAACAAAACAAATCACTGAGATTAAAACTCATCAAATTCATTTACCAACTTTAAGTATATATATGTTTTCTCCAAGTACAAAATCATTAGCATATATAATCACAGAAATAAAACTTGCATGAGACACTAAGACAGTGATAATACTTTTCGTTTCTATACTAAGTATAGCAAGATATTTTAAGTCTCAGTTCTTGTCATATATGTGCAACTGTACATATATAATACATGGTTACTATTTTGAAATATCAGCGATATTTGGGCTAGGGTAAGAAAACGTGACAGAAGGCGAGGCTTGCCGAGCCCTCTTACATTTTCGACCCAAGCCCAAATATCGCTTATATTTTAAGACAGTTATCATGTATTTTGTTTATCCTGCAACATATTCTTTACAATTGAATGTCCAAAACTAGCTATTTTAAACAGATTTAGGCACATCTATGCAGTTGAAACTAAGACGCCTGGTGGCTTAAACATTGCAATAATGCTTTTAGAACATCGGAATACATGCACGAAGTTTTATTAGGGCACTGTCCGGATAAAGCTTTGGTTTGTTAGTTTGCCTTCATGAGGTCAATGCAAGGGGTAGCTGCCAGATAATAATATTCTGATTACAAGCGAGTTTATTGCTACAAATAATTGGTTGGAGGTGGATAAATTATAAATTTTGGCAAAATACAAACTAAAAACAAAACCTTTTTTGCATTACGGAAAGCATATGGTCAAATACAAATATAAAACAAACTACAAACAAAATACAAACTAAAAACAAAATACAAACTATAAAACCATAACGGCAACGGTTACTATTTCAGGAAAATGCCAAGTACGATGCAGCCCTGGTAAAAGTGGAAGCAGCAAACAAGGTGCGTACAAGTCATAGAAATGTTTGTTCATATGCAAATTAAAAACACTCTAAACATGCTTTTTGACAGGGTCATGATTCCACAGAATCTCTCAATTTCTGTTGATCTGTGGGTAGAAAATTCCACAGATTTCTTGCTTCCATAATGCCTTTATAGTGTACAGTGGAGCCTCATTTTTCCGTACGCTTTGGTTTCTAGTCAATTTGTCCCTACATGGGAAGCATCGGGATACCTGAATCACCAAAACAAAACAATGTAACATTTAAAAATTCTGTCCCAATGAAAAAGTGTCTGGATACTAAAGCATCTGGATATCTGAAGGTCCACTGTACTTATACCACACTGAAAAAAGTACTTCTACAGTAGTCTTTTTCTCTGACTGGGCAGCTTTAACATTTCTCCTCATATGTACTATCATGATTCAAACTTCCTTCAAAATTTTCTTTTCAGATACCAGACCCCCTAGAGTTAGTGGCACCATTTAAAAAATTTGAGAGGAATGGGTGTGTATTAATAAACTTGTAAACTTGGTATAATTTTTTTCACTTGTTATCGATTTGTAATGTAGTTTATTGTACATTTTTTTGTGGCCCAGTATTTAAATGAATACTCAGGTCATATATATTACAATTATTCTTTTCAAAAATGAATTACTTTTATAATGAAGCAAAATCGACTATCCCTGACACTTCTTTATACACAGGTTTTACAGTATTAAGTTTATAATGGCTTGATCTATTCTTTAGTTTGAAGTTGAAAATTGAGTGCAAAAAGGTGACAGATATGGAGAAAGAATTGATAGACTGGGCATTTCAACTGACCAAGGCTAACATGCAGAAAATGTAAGTACTGACTAAGGCCAACATACAGAAAATGTAAGTACTGACTGAGGTCAACATACAGAAAATGTAAGTACTGACCAAGGCCAACATACAGAAAATGTAAGTACTGACTAAGGCTAACATGCAGAAAATGTAAGTACTGACTAAGGCCAACATACAGAAAATGTAAGTACTGACCAGTGAAATGTGCATATATTCTCAGTTCAAACAAATTTACCTAACAGAGAGGATGAAAAGAATGAGTCTTTTGTCTTAGCTGTGGAATTAGCTGCAAAGTTTTTTTTGACGATTTGATATTTTAAAAGTAATTTTGTCCATCTAAATAAATAAGTTGCCTTGAATCACAATTTGAATTGAGGAAATTTGTGACTTCAGATAGTTGCGGGGTATTTTGGGGAAATTATGGGTTTTTAGTATGACCTCTGACACTTGAGTCATGGTTCATTTGTCTAGCTAAGTTCATGGTTAGTTATATATATTAATGAGTCTTGTAAAACAGACTACCTCCAACTAGATTAACGTGTATGAAAGGCGTTTTAATTGATTATTTTTATTTTTTAAAAATAAGCACGTCTAGTTCTTGATGAACGTTTAATGACATTGATGTGATTATATGACCTATATATGACCTATATTACCTGCTGTCTAATCATATAACCTATATTACTTGGTCTCTAATTACAGGTATGAAGAGAGTGACTGGGGATGGAAAGATAAGGATAAATACACAGAAATGACGGAGGAGAAAGCCCAGTATCTGATCGCCTCCGACATCACGACTGGTAAACCTGTCGCCTTCACTCACTTCCGCTTCGATATGGAGTTAGATGAGGAGGTCGTGTACTGGTGAGCGTTTGATTGAGTCTCATCTTAGAAGAGGACCATACTGTATACAGGGAAAATTTTGGCCCCTTTTGCCCTTGTCACAAAGTGGGCGAATTTTCAAAGGGCCAAATTCAAAAAACGAAGTATAAATTTTAAACAGAACTTTGACTGGGTGAATTTAAAATGGGGCAAAATTGTTTCTAAGTGTAAAAGGCAAAACTAAAATGGGGCGAAAATAACCCTGTATACAGTAGTCAGATTTGCTTTGCCTGAAAGATAGTGGGCGCACTAGATGGGCAGTCGGCAGGAATTACTGACACGAAACAATTCAGATTTAAATGTCCAAGCACCATGTAGTTTTAATACATATCTTATACAATGAACGTAGAAACTTCACAGGAATGGATTTCTGCCTTATGTTTATTAATTTGTTGATAATTTGTTTTTCAATTAAAAGGTGTCATGAAAGATAAATTATCTATGCTGGAGACATTCAGTAGAATGTAATAGAAGTCTAACGCAAACTAATTTTTGTGCTCAATTTTCAAATGCACTGAAAATATTGAATGTAACAGTACGAACGAAGTTTCTAGTTTTTTTTTAAAAATATATATTCAATATTTTTTCATCAGGTGTAACTTTGTAGTTACAAGTTCATGTATGTTTATCTCTATTTGGAAACGTTAGCACTATAAATGAACAAAATGTGAACGCATTGAAAAATAAAATAATTAACGAGGCTAGGGGGTGGCAGCCAATTTTAGACTATTTCAATCTCCTTTAAAAGGAGAGCTCCATATAAAGATATACAAAATGATCAAATTTTAAAACTAAAATATATGAATTTTTTCTTTGCCAAATGATAGTTGACAGCTAAAGATACCGTATCTAAAATAATAAGTTAAATCTGGTGGTTAATTTGGGATTAAATTGTTGACCCACCAGCCTCCTTCATGTAAAATAATTTATGTGTGAAACATAATTAGTAACTTTATTCAAGGAGTATTTCTTTCAGTACCAATTCAAAAATTATAAGCAAAAAGATTTAAAAAAAAAAAAAAATATAATATCACTGTATTCGAACCTAAAATGCTACTTCGATATAGCTCGAATCCAGCGACAAACCAATGTAGCTACCGCGGGACACTATACGTAGCTAGTATTTAAATCATTATTTAAAGCCAAAGCCTTATACAATTGGACTTTGTCAATTTTCTACCAGAAATTAAATGGAAAAAGTTTGGATTCTGGTATTTCTGGGTCGTCTCTCCATTTTTTAAACAACTGGAATAAATTTTACGGTTAAAAATACACCGATAACACATTTAAAATTCATGGAGAGAAGACCCAGAAACAACGAAATTAATGAAAAACGGCTATAAAAGAGTCGATTTTTGCATTATTTGACTCCTACAGCTATATTCAGGTGCATATTTAAATAAAATCAAACATATTTAACTGAATATTTGCCCATTTTACATTCACCTCAACACATTCATCGGCTATGTTTTGAAAAAAATGTATAAATCAATGATATATTTTATTTCTTTTTATGAGCCACTATTCCTGCCGAATTGCCATCTTAAGCGCCCACTTTCTTTACTTTTGTATATTTTGCAAAAGTTAAGAAATTGTTAAGAGTAAGAAGAAGAATTTTACAAAAAGGAAAAAAAAAATCAAATTTTGGCCACCCCCTCTCTGTTAGGTTTCCAAACAAAATACCTACATTCTTACACCTTATTTATACATTTTGTTATTTGAGATAAGGTACTTAATGCCAGAGAATGAGAATGATTTTGAAAGGGAGAAAAAAACACTTAGAAAATGTAATAAACAGAAAATTCATTGTGTAGTAAAGTTTTATGGAATTTTACGAGTGAGACAAGATTAATTTAAAGACATTATACAAATGTAAGGGTCAGTATTTCTTTGTAGTTATGAAATCCAGTTGGAAACAGAATGCCGACGGAAAGGCCTGGGTAAATTCTTAATGCAGATTCTGGAGTTACTGGCTTACAAGTAAGTAGATGTGTCATTATCATGAAATTTTTTATGATTTCAATTTCAGTTACGATGTATGAAAATGTAACTAAAAGCTGATCTGTAAATGCCTAAATGGTCTTCAATAATCTTGTGTATTTTTATGTTCATTACAAAGTTAATAAAAAGTTAATAAATAGTTTTAAAAAAAAATGCGATATAGTGGAATCTGTTTAATTCAGTGAGGGGGAGGGGGGTCAAAGTTCATGGGTAAATAAAATTTTGTTGATTTTGTCGGGAAGGAATTACATGGATAACCCATATATATAGAAGATTCAAAGAATAAGATATATTGATGAAATAATTGTTCATGGGGATGTAAAAAGATGGTGGATATGGGTGAATCCACAAAATCCACAAACATTGATCCCCTACAACATTGATGATTCCACAGTAAATCTAAGGGATTTTGATGTCCAGTATCTTGGCTATTTATTGCATCCACAGGTTTGTGACAAGTATATTAAATGGCCCAAACAAGATGAATTCAATAATTCAGTATTTAATACTCCACTTTTTAAACATAATTTTGTCATTTCAACTGGTAAGATATTGTCAAATAGTATCATAGTAACATTAAGGGAAGATGTGTCTTTTTATACAAGATTATTGAAGAATACTGTAAATGTATTATATTTAGCATGTACAATATTTGGCGGAAATTCATTTTTGAACGAGTTAGTGTAGATTTGATTTAGTGCAAGACATTTAACGTTGTACATGAATTAGCGGAAGTTCCTCTCTGCCAAAAGTGCTTAAAAGAATACACAGCCAAATGTAATACGTTTACAGTAACTTTGCCTAAACCTCAATAATATCTCAAAACCTTGAATATGTGTAGAAATTCAGGCTTTACGGACCATGGATAGCTCAGTGTTAGAGCACCTGACTAGAAATACAGGGTCCGGGGTTCAATTCCCGGTCCAGCCATATGTTTTCTTCTTGCATTTCTCCTTTTCAACTACACATATATATTAAAATTCTCCCTCGTCTAGCTTGATTTCACATAATTAACTGCATAAAAGGGGTCAAGGAACTTCTTTTGATAAACATTGCCCCTCATCTGTAAGGTAAGTTTTATTAACAGTGTATATTGGCCCTGAAGCTTAGGCACCTAAATGTGTTGACTCACAGTTATTAATGATCTTTAAAGTTGCTCTTTAATAATTTGCAAATATTTTTTGTTCTTTTCTCATCACTGTTTTCATTTTTTTGTTTGGGTGTTTTCAGAACAGATATGACCAAAGTGATGCTGACTACCTTTAAGAACAACAAAGTCTCCCAAGATTTCTTCAAGAAAACAATGAAGTAAGGACCCCTCCGCCACTCAAATCTATAACTGAATTAGGAAAATTTTTCTTTCTTCAAGTTTTAAACATAGCAGAGATGGAAAAAATCAACTATACTGTAAATGCATGGAATCCATACTTTATGACAGATGTGTTAAGTACATGTAGCTTTGAATTCACTGGTCACTTTTGGCATCTTATAAATAGGAGAACTTTCTTTCATTTTTAACAAATCATTTTTTCTCTCCTTCCTATTAATTATACCCTAATTTGGTAAATATTTCATTATTTGTGTGATTTTAAACTTTTATGATTACAAAAAGTAATGCTGGAAAAGCTGTTTAGTTTGCTGTATTTTTTTTCTCTTATCAACCAGATGTAACCTCTTCCAGATCTGTGTTCTATATAGTTTATATCTTACTTCAGGTATGAAGTTGACGAGATCTCCCCAGAAGATCCCTTGTTTGATGACGGCTACCATTACGAAATCCTCAGCAAATCAATTAAACCTAAACCTAAACCGGCAACCTCAGACTCCGTAACTACAACTGACACGCAACCCGTGACAGCCAGCTGATAATGGGGGGTCATATCATAACCTGTAACAGCCAGTGATGGGGAGGGGTCATATCATAACCTGTAACAGCCAGTGATACTGGGGATTCAATAACAGCTTGTTACTGCTGACTCTGGAGGGGGGTGGGGGTGGTAAAGTTCACCGAGATATTAAAGGAGAGGGGGTGGGGTAAGAGGGATGGTTTTATGGTAGAATTAGGTGGCTTTGAATCATTGCTTTTTACTTTACATCAAGCGGACAAGATTTTGATGTGAGTAATTGACTCCATTATGCACTCAGACTTGCCTTAACTGAAATGTTCAGGACCAGGGAGATTTAGAATTAACAGGTTGTGTGAAGAATTTACTGCATATATTGATGATTTGGATTTATTTCTGATGTAGTTGTCAAAAAGTTTTAATGTAATATTGATAATTCTCTGCAGTTTCCTTATGTAACTGTCCTGACTTTGTATCATAACTTAGCTTGTTTTTGTAAAGCAATGAGAGTAAAACAATAAACATTGGTATACACATACAGTTACGGAGTGTATTGAAGTCTTTGTAATACATTATGGAACTCGAATAAAGTAAACATTAATTATGTTAATCTGCCTCTTTTGACTGTTTATTGAACAGGTGGAGACCACTAGATTTTCTGATGTCAGCATAAATTTGTATGTAAATTAGCTGTCTAACCTTCATCTTTTGACTGTTTATTGAAGATGATTCCTTGTAAATGTGCAGTCTGTTGTGCTTCCAAAGCAAGCTGTTAGGTACACTGTCTGTAAAAGTGTTTTATTCCTCTGTTAGTAGAGACTGCCAGCAATTGACAAGTACATGTACATTGTTAATAAATGTGTTGTAAGGCCCCAAAAAATTAATCATTAGTTTCTCAGGCACCGCCGTATCAGTTCAAAAGCGGCCGCATTGATCAATTTTATTGACATATTGAAAAGGGAAATAACTCAATTTTCTATTTTTCCAAGTTGAAAAAGAAAATCGAGTTATTGCCCTTTTTTTAGAAAAACAATATCTTTCTTATAAATTTAAAGTATTTTAAAAATTAACTTTTAAATAAATGTTTGGAATAACATTATTCAAAGTTGAATAGGTACATATTTTTACTAATGTCAGAGAACAAAACTTAAGAATTAGTAGATATCATTTTATTGAACAAATGACTTTAAAAAAGGTGTAGACTAAATCCTGCTTCCAAAAAAAAGGCCTGCCTGCCGCATTGAATTCTGATTTTTTTGGCCTGACAACCTACTGATTAATTTCTTTTGGCCTAAGTCTGATATAATGTGATGAAGACAAATACATGTACATGTAGTTTAATCTTTATACCATTCCAACAAAGTTTGGGGAGTTTATAGTATTAATCATAGTAACACGGATGATGCATCTAGTTTCATTGTACCAAGTTTCAAAGCATTTTCTATTAGAATGCCAATGAACAGAGTGTTTCAAATAAAAGAAGTTCACATTCATGAGTCATGACTTACTTTTGCAATTTAAAAGTTTAAAAACTGTTGAGCCTTCCATTGTATCTCAGTATTGAAGATACTGAGATACTACATGTCATACAATCATCAAACTTTTTAAGGTGATGCATGTTGGGTCCTAGAAGTGTGTCAACCAAAAGTAGGTCACGTTAACATACAATTAAGGCTATATATAAATAATACAAATAATAAGAGGCTTAGAATCATGAAAGTTTGTCTGTTGGTGCACCATGACCTACGAGGCATGATCAAAAAGTTTGTGAACTATCTCCATCTACAAACCACACAATTCAGGTTTGAAAAAAATATCATACATAGTAGCCATACACAAGTTGGATAAATAGCATCTGTTGATTAACATTATGATCCTTGACTGTGTTTGTAAAGGAACAAATTTTTAGATGTAAAACAATTAAATATACATGTATTGACATTTTAGTAATTCATTTACTTTGAATTCATTCCTACATTAATTCGATATATCCCTTTTAACTCAAAATAAATCACACAGTCTGAAACATCTGCTTCGTATTTCAATAATAATCAGTCTGACTTCCCCTCTCACCTGTTCACATTCTACATGACATCACTTCCTTTAATTTATTCCGCTGAAATATGGCTGAAATATTGCAGACTCGGCGTTAAACAATATAAAATCAATCAATCAAATCACTTCCATTAATGAGACAAAGATAATATTAAGATAATTTTATTATAACAAATTTGTCAACAAATTTGCATAGAGAATGAGAATTATTGTCATTATATAAATACAAGCACTTCATATTCTGATGAATTAGAGGATTTTGTACAAAATTTGACAATTGATCAACTTTGAAAATGTTCATTCTACTTAGTATCCAATTATCAACACTATGGCACAACCAAAGTCTTCCAATTATGCCTTGAATTGATTTTTTTTTTGCATACCGTTAACTGAGTTTCAGTAATTCAAATAATAGTACAGGTGTACCAAAATGATTAAACAATTTTTTGCAGTAAAAATAATTCTATACATATAGTTACGAAAAAGATAATGATTCTGGAACAAATAATGTTATGTCATGCTTAAATACCTATTGAAAATTGCTTTCACATTAACAAAAGAGCTGAAAGTAATATATTGGGGTATGAAATTTTCTGTATGTTCAACAAATCGAGATATATATGGAATGTATAGCATTCACTTTAACATTGAGATCATTTTCCCCCACTAAGATATGATGAGGCTATGGTTGATAGCAAAAATAGAAGTCAAGTATGGATTCAAGTGCCTGAAATGTTGGACAATTCCATTCCACACATAGTTCATGTTTAAATTTAAAATAATTATCTTCAATATACAAAGAAAAAAATATTTAAATCGTAAACTCAACCATACATGTATCTAGCAAGAGTTAATGTTCTTTGTTTTCTGGAGATTACAACCACATATACATGCAAAAAAACAAGAGGTAGAATATAAAAAAAAATTCATTCAAATAATAATCAATAATAAGTTTAGATTTTGAAAAAAAATAGAATATTAATAAGCACTTAACAATTTACAACGTTACCATAATAACCATTGTACAGTAATGTTGAGAGATGTTTCTTTCAGAGCATGTACATAAAGTCTCTCTAGATAGAATCTACAGCATGATTAATTTTCTACCACAAATAATAAATCCTATCAGACATTATTTTTCTAATTCCGAGAGAAGCTGGGTGCCCTATTGTTGGCTACTCCTTGTATAAGACCACTATAGGCCCTGGGTGGTCCGTCTATACCGTTATTCTAGGATAAAAAAGAGACTTGGTTTTTGTTTATAGAGACAGAATGTTGACTAGACACATACATCAGTGTTAACGTCACAACCAGTGAAGGATATGTCGGCATGGCAACCATTCTGCCATTAACAGTGGTCACTCTGTCACAGATATAACAATTAATTATGAACACAATTAAAAGACACGAAAAACATAATGCCAAAAGCATCACATGGAATTATAAACTCACATAATGGAATATAACAACCATAATGCACATAAATCTCAAAAAATATTGTAAAGCCACTTAATGAGTTGAACAAAACCGACACCATAAAATATACATGAAATCCACATATGGAGAAGAAAGACTTGTTTTAATTCCACACAACTCCCTGGAACTCCTGATAATTCAGGCACAGTTAGACACGTGGAATCAATTTCTGTGATATGTGCTCGTCGGAAAATAAGCACAGGAAAGCACTGGCTTTGGCAAAAAATAGCATCACAAGAAATGACCAATGTGACATGCTCACTTTCTTACTGTGTCAACCTACATGAAGCAGTCACTGGTCACTGTGTCGATGTAATGGTCACTTTGACAAGTCACAATTTTAAGTTTACTTTGGCACTATAGATTTCAGCATCTGTTGATTATTAACTAAAATTTGATGATTTTGACGAATTAGGGCTTTGATTTCCGAGTACTGGGTGGGGAGGATCACATTGTTTGTCTCTGAGGAGGGCTTGTTGTCTATGACACTGTTCAGTTCCGCGCAGCACTCGGATATTGCCTCTCTCAGCATACTTAGTCCCTCAGAATCCGCTCCTTTGCTCTGGTCTTGTAGCTGAAGAAGATAGCACAGATTTAGAGAACATAATAATACAACGATCTTAGTTTAATGGTGAGATTCAAAACTTGACACCATAAGATCATATACCCCAGTACATTTTAATTAGGGATGTCAAATCAGTCAATTTTTAATTCTTGGTTACTCAAACGTTTTTCAGATCGAGTACCCAAGTAACTCGGTAAAAGTGTAAATATGAACAAGTATATTGATAACTCTAAAACATTGTAAACTCTCGCAGAAATAAAACCACTAGCTCTGATTGGAGGATTACCCGAATGAATTATCAGATAAACACAAGAAATAAAATCATAAATGGTTCACATTGTTTTTGCTTAAAACAATAATCTGTTCCGTGATTGTAATGTAACTCTTAGTTGCGTTTGACGTCCAAGTATCAGTCGTCAGAGCTACAGTATCAACTTAATCAAGTTCTCCTATCAGAGCGGAATTTTTTATCTTCCTTCACTTTTTTGATCCTAGAATTTATAATACTGTATACAGGGAAATTTTCGCCCCCGTTTTATTTTCGCCCCTTTCCCCCACTCCTTGATTGGGCAAATTTAAAACGGGGTGAATTCAAATTACAACTCATAATTTCTTAAACAGAACTATGACTGGGTGAATTTAAGACGGGGCAAAATTGTTTACAAGTTCAAAAGGGCAAAAATAACCCTGTATACAGTATTATGGGACGGTATGTTGTAATTTGGTGCAACGATAGACATCGGGCCTGGGGGCCATATAACTTTGACGAGCTCAATTTTGATCTCAGTCTCACTTTTCCACTATTAATTCCTTTGGAAAAAGTGAGTCTGAGATCAAAATTGAGCTCGTCTAAGTTTTATGGCCCTCAGCCCAGTTTTTTAAAGCCTTTGCCTTCAACCATTTGCACTGGCACATAATCAAATAAAATCGTATCAACAATCACACGTGTTATATCATCTGTCTCTTTTCCAGAGAATTTCCGGCTTCTTGGAGAATTGACAAAATTATTTAATTTATTTAAACACAATAGACCTTAAACGATGTTCAGTGAAAACAAATCATTAAAGCAAACCGAAAATAAGGGTAGAAGACAGCTGAAGGTGAGAAAAGCCAGGTAACAGGAGCTTGATCACCACAAGTACTGTATAAATATGGCCACAGACGATAACAGTCATTTAGAGGCATAGGAAACCCTAATTACTGTATGTAAAAGTGCAATGAACATTTTATGTTTTTAAACATATGTTTTAATGGATTAATGAATAAGCTTAGAAATATTCAAAAATATACATCCGAGTAACCGAGTATAAATTTTAGTATTCAATACTCGGACGTTTGATCGAGTACTCGGTTAACCGGGTACTCGTTGACATCCCTAATTTTAATCATAACGTAACCAAAACTTTCCTTCACTTACTGTTTTGTACGTCTCTGTCACCATGGTTACCATTTTCTTGAGATCTCTGATGGCCTCCATGCTGGTTTGTAGGTCGTCCGTTTTCCTGGGGCTCTGTTTAGGTGAGGGGGTGATGGTGGACCGTGATGAAGACACTGAGGTGGATCTGCTGGGGGTGTAGGGGGTCTGATGACTGGTGGGGGTCGTTTCCATGGCTGAGGTCAGAGGTTGACTTGAGGGGGTCGTTTCCGTGGATGAGGTCAGATGCGTGTTTGATGACTGAGACGAGACATTCTGTGGGTGTTCCAGGGAGTAGCTAAAAACACAAATTAACATCAGTAAAACAAATGTCCAATTATTTGAAGTGCCTACACTGAGAGAAAACACTCTTTTATCGATTGAAACAGTGAAAAAAAAAATGAAAGTTTTATTTTTTCTATGTGAATGTTTTAAAAGACTTGGACACTATTTCACAATAAACAGCAGCTATGGAATTCCAAAATTAGGTATTGGTGACCTAATTCCAGTCATAAGAAATCTTCTCAGCAAGATACAAGGTTTAATGATTCTAAATTGTGTACTTTCTACAATATATGTAGAAATGATTAGGCTTTGCATAACTATTGATTTCATAACAGATTAATCAACCTCTTTAGGACTGTGCACCCCCCCCCCCCCCCCTTCACCCAAGAGGCACTGACTGACCAGGTATGGTGATTCAAGTCTCAGAGTCTACATGGTATGAACAAGACATGTTTTGATTGCATTTATCTTGAGAATTCCAAAATAAAGTCAGACCGACCTACTTGTGAAGCACTCCCTGCCCCATTCCACTGCTCAATAGAATCCAGACATAATTTAATGTTAAGTCAAAAATTCTGCAAAATGAGGTCACCAAGACCTACTTTTGGTTTGCAAGATATGATCCAGATATGGAAAAGCCAACATCAGGTCAGAATAGATAGACTGATGAATGGGTAGGGAACACCACATGATAACAAAGAAAACTGTCATTAAATGAAATCTACCTCTTTAATATCATTCCATTGTATCATAACTCACACAGTAAAGAAGAAATCTTTAAACGTCTGATCCTACGTACCTATTTTCCTGCCCACTGTTAAAGTTTCGGGGAGGACTGATGCCCTGGAACATTCTGGTGGCTGTCTCGGAGTCTAAACTGGAGCCCACCCCTGAGCTGTACTGACTGGTGTTAGATCCGGGGGAGTACATCGCTACAGAGGATGGACTACCGCTAACACTGACAGACGTCCCCTGAGGGCTGGAGTGCGACGTCAGCTGAGCTATTCTTTCTTTGATGCTTTTGGAAGGAGTATCGTCCAGCTCATTATCAGAGTGACTGGTGAGCGTGCTGGCCCAGGAGTCGTTCATCCGAGCGTCTGAATGAGTCGCGGTGGCGAGATAGTCAGGGGGAGATAACTGACTGCTACAGCTGGGAAGGGAGGACACAGAAGTTAGGGAAGTCACTGAAGAGTTGGGGTTCTGAGGGGTGTAGTCTTTCTCCGGTAAATCGTTTGGACTGGCGTCTAATGCGGACAAGTCCTGGAAGGCTGACTCTATCTTCTGCCTCCTGAGCTCCTCAGCTGTCATCTCAATCTCTGTAGTTATCTGTAGAATGTTGCTGGACAGATGTACAGGGGGTGAGGTCACTTTAGGAATGGATCTATTGCTGGCAGTGGCAGACCTGAGATTTTCACTTCCTGGAGTCTTGGATCCTTGTTTCTGAGGCAGAATCCCTGAATTTCCTTTCAGAATGTTTTTAGCCTGATCCAGTGTCAGTTCCTGTTTGTTTTGAGTCTGAGATCGCGTAGCCCGCTTTATAAACAAACTATGTTTGGATTTTGTCACATTCACATTCGTTGTGTTGGGCGGGGGCATCAGTTCCTTATCACTCTGTTTTCCTGGTAGAGACATTCGGGCCGGCCTCTTGCTAAGATCTGATGCGGAACCTGTCTTTTTCGGCGTTCCTGTTGAGAACCTTTTGGTTTCAGGCAGTAGTTTTTTAACATCACTTCGTTTAGCCTTGAGTTTTTGTGGCGCGTTGTCTAACAGATCTGGCACGCTGTTTGACAGGTTACCACTGACGATTCCGTTCTCTGGTTCCCAGTCCTCCGACGTATCGCTGAAGGCTGCTGCTGCCAGATTTGGAGTAGAGGCGTACGCAGCAGATTTAGTCAATGTTTTATTAGATTTAGATTTCGTGCTCTGTTTTTTACTGTTCAGGTTTGTCATTGACGTACTTTTATTTAGCTGGGGCCCCGACTCTTTGCGGTCTGAGGACAGTCGGGATTGTGAACTTAACGTCTGCTTCCTGTAGGTGGAACTCTGGGAATGAGATCGGGGCTCCAGTTTCTTTCTCTCCTCGCGGCTAAGGGACAGGGTGTTGGGTCGTGACCTGCGAGCGGGTCGACCGCCCGAGGATGACTCATCACTGTCACTCGTGAGAGCTGATCCTGAAAATACAGAGTACAGATTCAATTCATTGATACAAAATGTTTGAGGAAGCCTGCATACTACCAGATATATATATACACATATAACAAAATAAAACTTTGACATTTCATCAAGTTTAATTCATGAATTTTAATTCAATGAAAATGATGCAGCTAAAATAATTGATCTGTACTTTTTAAATGCCTCTGATTCAATGTAACTGAAATGAACATGAAAAAATATCAAAGAAGACGTTTAAAAACGATAGACATTGATATTTGGGTTGCAAATTTATATTTCAGAATTATTATAAAAATTTAATACTGTAGAAGCAAAAATTATCGTGGGGATAAAATTCGTTGTTTTGCCATCTCATATTTTTGTTGTTACAATTGTAACTCTTAATATATAAAGTCACATAAAATTTTGTGTTTTTTACATTACCCTGAGACTGCAGATAATGAAACCTTGCAACCAAAAACAAACATCAAATGCCCTGTTTCCTCTATAACTGGATACAGGTGTATGTACAAGATGATACAGCCGACTTGTTAGAATATTGAATAATGCTACAGATATACATTTGAAGTATATAGTAATGGTACACTGGACCAGATGAAATACATAGATACATGGTAAAAAACTCAGCAGCAATAATGCAAACAAAGCAATAGTTGTCTATAAAGCAATGCCTTATATGTAATTAAACACAGCAATTGTTGAATATAAAGCAAGGCCTGAACTGAACAAAGCATTGTTAAAAGCTTCAATGAAATATTACTAGGCAATACCCTCTGATCAGCAGTGTTAATGAGGCATAAAAACACTAACTTGGCAAACATGTATAACTATTGTGAACAAGCTTAAAATCCTGAGCTGAACTCGGAAAAGCACTAAGTCTACTTTATATTATTTTACCAAGATGCCTTACATTTCAGGTGACATACATTATAAAAGTGGAAGATATAACAGTGTCAGATATATATATCAAGGAAAACACAGTGTCAGTCAAGGTCAGATGTTAATCAGTGAGGGCTATAAATAGAACAGGGTGTGACACATCAAAGCAGTCCAGATACACTTCATGCCCGAGCGATTTACCGCACTGGGTGGTGGATCTAGACAGAGACTGAGGGGTGGGTATCTTGCTACGCCACTGTGGTGGTGAGGAATGTACATTGCGAGGGTTACCCTTTGTGGTGGGGGTGTGAACGGTGCAGGGGTCAGAGGCCGGATGCTCCTCCTGGATTGGCTGCTTGGGAAGGTCAAAGGTCGACCAACATCTGCGAAGAGATGTCGGCGTACGAGGGCCTAAAATTCAAAAGGTGATGAAGACGGTGCTCTAATGAGGTGACGAGTGAATACAAAGATCGTGACAAATAACAGGTAATGAATTAAGCATGTGTATCCAGGCATTTTTTCTTGGAGTGACTCGAGAGAATATCAAGCTCAAAAAATGGATATCACTATAAATTGATGAAAGCAAGGAATGCAATGGATGAAAAATAATTCTCCTCTCTACTCATTTTTATTTAAATCCTTCATATTGCTTTCAAGGTGGGTAGAAAAAAACTCCATGTATAAGTTTAAAATAAGCATTACATCAAAAATTCTTTGAGAGCTACTGAAAAGACTGAATGCATGTAAGACATGGGAGACATATTCTACAGACACATGCTCTAGCTCTGATTTGGTGACGAGTCGACATGCCTAGGTAGCAAGATGATTTATAGGTCATGCACCTGAATCACTTTGACCTAGATACTTACTGGAAGGAATGTCCTCTCTTTCTAGTGACCTTCTGACCTCAGCAACTTCCTATAAATAGATATAAATCAAATGACCACAAACTGGCAAAACAGAAGTGAATCAGCAAACTTTGTTCTATGTAGCTCATCTATAATCAATCACTAGTTTCAAATAATTAAAGTTTTAATGAAACATAAAATATTGTAAAATAATTTTTGTTTGCAAGAATTTTCTTCTCTTTTGATTACACAAAACTACCTGCTTGCAAAAGAATTCTGTTTCACATATTTTTTCATTATTAAAAATTACATACAGCAAAGTTCTGAGGTCAAGAAATTTTTCTCTTGCTTATAAATATCATATTAATACAGTGCAATTTCAAAACAGTTTAATTCAATTTTAAAAGATGGAGCAAGCATGATAGGGTCATCCAGTTTGATATTTTCTTTCTGAGGAAGGACAGAGTTATCTAACCTGTACAGGACTGTGTTGAGGATCGGCCTCGGACTCCGGACTCTGGTCTTTCCAGCCCATCTACAAATCAAGTGCTCATAATTCAATCTCAGTCAGAATCTCAATTAAACTTATTCTTTAAACATAATGATACAGTGAAAACTGTCTAATCTGACACCTGAATAATCAGATTCACTGTGAATTCTGACGTTAAATTTCTTTCCAATTTTAGTATTTTCCTTGTTTTTAACTCTGTGCAATCCAACACCCTGTCTAATCCGACAAAAAATTTGTCTCCTAGTGCATGTCTGATTAGACAGATTTCACTGTATACACGTAACTTAGTGAAATCACAACTTTTCATGGGGGACTGTTGTGGTATGAAGAGACCCACAGATTCATGTCCACCACGAAATGTAAAATGTTACATACATAACTACTCAAAAATTCCTCATCCTCATAATCAAATCCCTACCAACCAAGAGTTTTCCTCAAACCAAAAAAAATTTGATCCCCACAAAAAATATGTGCGTTTACAGTAGGTAAAAAATTTTGGATGATGACTTACGGCCATCAGAGTTTTCCGCGTTTCATCGACAGCTCGGGCCATTACGTCTTTCCTCTTCTGCAGAGACTGAATAAAACCAACGGAAAAATCAGTAGCAAAATAAATCAACAAGATTAAAGTGTGAGGAAAGTCCAAACACTTAATCACGAAAAATCAATTGTGAAAGAATGGTAAAACACACGCTGAAGATAGACTTACATCAAACCAGTTGTCTTGTCGCTGGACACTGTTATACACCGAGATGTTCCTGCAAGACATGAAATACAAAATATATGTAATATCATCAATGTTTTTTGTCTTTCCATTTCTTGTTAAGGATACACCAAAGGCTTTTTTCAGGATTTTTGTCAATTTTGAGATTTTTGGCTAAAAAAACAATGCTAATCACTGCTTTATAATGCATGAAAAATTCTTGCTGACTCTCTATATAATGATAAGAGCCCATTATTTTGATCACACATTTCTCATAAGAGAAGCCATTTATTATTAGCTAATCTAAAGTTGGCCTGTTGTGCCCACTATTCAGATAACTTACCTAATGCTGGCCTGCTACACATGTATGTCCATTATTGGATAATGTAACTGGTGTTGGCTCACTGTTCCCATTATTACCATGAAATAGGAGGTGGAGTTGGCCTTGCCATTTTGCCCATTATTTGGATGACCTATTTTATATTAAAAGCCCATTATTTGGATGACCTCCCATTCTTGTGAATTATTTGGATGACATACCTGATGTTGGAGTGCTATGCCCATTATTTGGATGACATACCTGATGTTGGCCTGCTGTGCCCATTATTTGGATGACATACCTGATGTTGGCCTGCTGTGCCCATTATTTGGATGACATACCTGAAAACTGGCCTGCTGTGCCCATTATGTGTGTTCACAAAACCTGATGTTGGCCTTTTGCCCATTATTTGGATGACATACCTGATGTTGGCCTGCTGTGCTCATTATTTGGATGACATACCTGATGTTGGCCTGCTGTGCCCATTATTTGGATGACCTACCTGATGTTGGCCTGCTGTGCCCATTATTTGGAAAATTTTGACTTTGAGAGGTGGAATACAAAAAAGTTGATTATAAAATATACATACACTAATATTTACATTAAAATATTAATTACTTTTAATGACATAAAAATGAAAATTTAAATTAAGATCTTCTGTAAATTATTTGGGTGATATATACTTTTAATATGTTATCTTTATTTGGATGAATTACAAGCAAATTAAATTTTGCCCTGCCTTTGTGCCCATTATTTGGATGACATACCTGATGTTGGTGCTGTGCCCATTATTTGAGTGACATACCTGATGTTTGCCTGCTGTGCCCATTATTCGGATACAATAACAAATGTATCACACTGTGCCCATTATTTTGATGACACATATGTTGGCCTAAAAGAATGCCCATTATTATTATGACATATAATGTTGGCCTGCTGTGCCCATTATTTGGGTGACATACCTGATGTTGGCCTGCTGTGCCCATTATTTGGATGACATACCTGATGTTGGCCTGCTGTGCCCATTATTTGGATGACATACCTGATGTTGGCCTGCTGTGCCCATTATTTGAGTGACATACCTGATGTTTGCCTGCTGTGCCCATTATTCGGATACAATAACAAATGTATCACACTGTGCCCATTATTTGGATGACCTACCTGATGTGCCCATTATTTGGATGACCTACCTGATGTGCCCATTATTTGGATGACCTACCTGATGTGCCCATTATTTGGATGACCTACCTGATGTGCCCATTATTTGGATGACCTATCTGCGGTGCCCATTATTTGGGTGACATACCTGATGTTGGCCTGCTGTGCCCGGGACAGGAATCTGGACGAGATGCTCAGTCGAGGATTGAATCCGTTTGGATCTTCCTCCTCTTCCCTCTTCTTCTCTTCATCGTCCAGACTCTTCTGAAATCTCTCCTTGTGCTCAGGCGTAAAACTCAGGTTCTCAAACGTGTCCTTCAGGAATTTTTCCTAAAGCAGATAAGCTCAGTGTTTATTTTCCATGATTTGATCCAAAGTCACTGAATCAAATCACACGTCATCAAGGAATGGAGACCTCCATCTTAATTCTCTCAAAACAGTCAAACTTAATTCTTTCAGCAATTCATTTCTAACATTTATTTCTTTAACAGATAAGCCTGATTCTAAGTTAAGTGCCCTTGATTATGTTTTAAATTATCTCTAATCATACAGTTTATCTACTAAGTTTCGCGATTTCATCTCACCCTGAGAGGGGTTTGGGCCGAGAGGTCGTCCCCGGGGGTTGTGGGGAGGGACGGCGCGTCTCCGGACTCTTCTTCATCCTCAAGTTCCTCCACAGATACAGGGTCAGTACTGGAAGACTCTGAAATAACAGAAGAAATCAGTCAGTTATACTGAATGATACTAAAACAGGGTCGGTACTGGAAGACTCTGAAATAACAGAAGAAATCAGTCAGTCATACTGAATGATACTAAAACAGGGTCGGTACTGGAAGACTCTGAAATAACAGAAGAAATCAGTCAGTTATACTGAATGATACTAAACAAGGTCGGTACTGGAAGACTCTGAAACAAGAATTCAGTCAGTTATCATGGTTTTACTAAATTATACTAAAAAATGACATGAATCTAGTCTGATTTTTATAAATTTATTGATGCATAAAAATAAACCATTTAAAAAAAAAAAAATTTTCACTATATAAGCTCCAACAGAGGTACTAGTTCTCCATGTGAGCTGTGACTTACCAGCGTCCAGGGTTCTCTCTGACAGGGAGGATCTACTGGCCCCCCGGGGGAGTTTCCTGACCCCCTGACCCGTGAACACCGTGAAGGAACTGTCAAAGAGAAAAAACATAGGTAATCAGAGATTATACAGACTAAAAGAAAAAAGGCAAAGTCACACAATTAATGATAAAACTACATTAAAAAATGATATAAATATTTGTGGTCATTTTGAAGGAACTGTCAAAGAGAAAAAAAAATCGTCAAAATTATACAGACTAAACGAAAATCTCGGAAAACAGAATTTGATAAAACTCTTTAAAAAAATGTCATATACGTACATTGTCTGAGGCCATTTTGTTAGCATTGTCTTTTTTGAAAAACAATTGAACTTCTGTTTTCTCAAACACCAGGGATATATAGAAGTGATTTGGAAGTCCCATATTCCAAACACTCTTTCCTGTATGTATTTACTCCCATTATATTTAATACTCTGATATCTCCGTTTCATTTCTTCCTTTCTGAGTTAAGGATACCAAGGTTTGACTGTATATAAGTAGAGGACACAGAGTCCACTGTATTTAGCTCTCTAACTGACCTGCTGTTAGTTTCTACCGAGGCCTCGCTGGGAGGGTAATAAATGACCTCAGGGGATTCCTCTTCAAGGTCATCCAGGTCGTCCTGGCTGCGATGAAACGACAGACGACGCCACTGAGGATCTTTATCATCGGACGAGCTCTGAAGGACAGAATGGTTAGAACTGAGGAACACATCTGATTGCTTAGTTTAAGAAGTATACTACTGATGTGATATACAAAGAAACAAATACAATGAACATGGGCTGAACATCGGGCAGAAGTTGCCTATATTTAGTTCTTTCCATTTGAGATTTTGCTTTTAAGATACACTGTAGTTCTTGACAAACACTTAAATATCAACCTTGTCCTTTTAAACTTATCGTACTACAACAATGTCATTCTTTCTTACATTTTCTTCCTTCTGTTTTCTGGAGAAGAAATCATCATCATCATCCTTGCTAGGAATTCTGGGAATTTTCTGGAAAATATGTAATAAAAACCTTTTGTTAATAATTGTTTAATATAGTTCATTGTAATAATTTAAATTGTTTGCAAAAAAGAAAGAAGAGTTTGTGAAATACTAACGCCCCTGGTATGGCCGCTTATGGCCAGGGTTCAACTTTCTTAAATGCAAGTCAAATTTCAAGGTCAAGGTTAAAAAATTCATAGTTTCAAATGTCATCTGACATCTGATCACTCCTGTATGTCTTTATATGGAGCTCTTCTTCTAAAGAAGATCAATATAGTCTAAAAATGACCACAACCACTCATCCCTCTTAAATTACAACAATGAACACTGCTCCCCCTTTTTTCATCATTTTTTTTAAGTTGTAAATCTTACTACTGTGCAGTATGTGAAGAATTACATTATAACTTGTGTAAATAAACAGGAAATATTTGTAAAACTTTAACTCATGAGGAAACTACGGCAGTCCTATCATTGGGGTACATTTGTGTTTATATAACCTTCGCTCACAATTGTCATATCACATTCTATCAATATTTGTTTTGATTTCCGTAATCCTCTGTAATGGCAGTTTGACGTCAAAATAATGACATATTAAACAAGTTAAAACAATTCTTGCAATTAGGAGCAAGCTTTGAAGAAGACATAAAACGTCCCTTTAATTCACATCTTAATCCAATGTCTGTATTCTCGGTGTTACGACGTTACACTGAAGGTTACCCTGATCCCAGCTCCTGTAATTCATTCTGACATTAGCAGTAGAAGAGGACAGGTGAACTTTTAAAGGTCAAGGTTATACAAAGTCTGTTACAATTTAGAAATCAGTTCCTAAAGCATTCACTTTTAATCTGTCAATTTTCAAACATAGATATTCTAAAATTAAGCAATTAATATCAACTGATACCACCAAGTATTTGAATTTATTTATCATCAGATGTCACTAATGAAAATTGCCAAAATTATGTAATCTTTTTTCATTAAGTCTGCTGACAAATTCAACTTTGATTAACGATTCCTCATGCCCGCGGGTCTACTTGCTTTGCTGACTACAATAATAAAATTTAAGCTCCCTAATTTATTAAATGACATTTTCTTCGTTGACTTTGTAAGAACAGCTGACAAGAAAATGCTTTAGAACTAAGGAGATAGATCGAGCCCTCAACAAAGAAACTTCATACAACTGTACGTAACAGCCAAAATTCAGCACCAGCCTAAAATTTGACCAATTAATCAACGTGAAAATAGGAGAGAATTCAACAGTATAAAAGCCAGGGAACCGCAGATTGTGTAAATGTCAAATGCCCAACTTGTTTATTGTTAAAATCAACATTCTTATCAACCCAAATCCGTCAAAATTCTCCAAATAAGAAAAACTGGGAGCTTTACAAATACGGTTAGTTTAGATTTGACTATCAGGGGTAGATTATAATAAGTACAGGTGCTGATCTCAGTTCAGTGGTTAAATACTTCATATTACACTCCCAGGGTACAATTAAGTGTGACTCCAGTCTCAGACAACTCCTACCATTTACATTTACTTTACTAGCCATGAATGTGAATTAATCTTTAATTAATTTAATTTAAGGGTCATAATTAATTTTTGTCTGAGTCCTTTTGGTAGTGGTAAATGACTTTTAGTGCTAACCAATAGTTAAAATAAACCAATATGTCAAAGTTCAATTTCTTAACTATTGGTTACTTAAAACAATGCTGCAATCTAAACTATTAGAAACACATTATGACGTACGTAGAATGACAGAGCTGAATATATCAAAGTGAAACAGATCACTACCAAGTTCAAACACATCTAATTGATTCAATTGGAGAAGAATTTTTAAAGAATTCCTTGTTTTTTTTTCTCATCTAACTCTACTTCACAAAAAAAGGAAACTGTTCAACATATAATCTTATCGAAAATTTGTTGGGAATTTTTTTTTTAAATGACCTTGACCTTCATATTTTCATAGGAATAATGTCAGGAAACTTTATTGTTGTCTAATGCAACAACAACGTTTTCTCCACAAGATCTTTACCACTATCTCTTCCCCCGATCAGAGTCACTTCACCTCTTTTTCAATTTTTTAGCATGTCAATAGACATTAACTTAATCCCACAGCTTTTAGCTTTCAATAATCATAAAAGAATTTCTCTTCATAACGAAGTCACTAAACAAACCACTCTATTCTACAGATCAGGGGACAACATTCCAGAAACCTGCGGATTAACGAGCCCCTCAGAGTGACAGTGTTCCCCCCAGGCTGTCGTCTGTGGCGGATTATTGTACGTCTATTGCGGATTATCCACCGTTTATGGCGGATTATCTGTCTATCTTCTTGGGCCCCCCTTCCTCAATATTGTTCCTTATAACAAATCCAATTATAAAACAACCTTCCACAGGCAAATTCAGAATGAATATGTTATTTATTTATTATACTGCACTATATGGGTGTATATATGTAGATTAACTTTATCTGACTGTATCATTCTGCTCCATATTCTGGAAGCTCAAGATAGCTAGGAGATTTATAACAATTTCACTATCTAGTCCAAACAGATCCCCCAAACCCACCCCACCCCGCTGTGTGTCTGCAAGTTATGCATGTGAAATAAAATGAAGCAAAATATGATAGTATGATATAAATCTTTACAAGATAATTCTAAATCTATCGGCAAAAATTATAAATGTACAAAATGGCAAAGTGATAAATTTCTGCATGAAAATCAAATACAATATTTAATGTAGTTGAATTTTATCAAATGAAAATAAACATTTCATTGTATTTTTATATTTCTAAAACATATGAAACCTAATGAAGCATATACTTTCACTATAGAACTGTTCCGGGGCTATGAATACTGAGATATAGACAATATTTCATTTGATTTAATCATTTGTAAAAACATTAAATATCACTGCTTACATCGATACTTTTTATTTTGTACTTTCCACTGTTAATCTAACTTTTGAAATATACCATTAACAGTGACTTTATAATCCAGCCCCACAACCAGACTGAGTTTCCTTTATTTATCAAGCATAGCTTATATTTATTAAAACCTTTTATAAACCAAATGCCAAAATGCACATCATTTTGTTTTTTTTGTTGAAAATAAATGTTTACTCATATTTTAATTACAAAGGAATTAAAATGATTATGATTGTCTGTGTTTTTAAATGACAGTCAAGTGTGAAATTTAAAGACATTATATCCAGAGTCTCGGCATAACTTCTGGTCACTACTCTTCTGACTGTAAATTTAAATTAATTTGATTTCATGGTCAGAAATTGTTCAAAGTAGTAATGAATTTATGAAATTTCATATTTTGTGATGATCATAAATTTGTGGATATCTCCATACCTCAAAGACAATGGAAATTACCCCCACCTCCAAAAATAATGATTTCATAGTACATTATACTGTGGTCACGTTTATTATCCTTCATGTTTTTGATTTTTTTATTTTAATTTTTGGGAATGGTTTCATAAAGATAATTTTCTCCAAAATTCAACAGAGGCTTTTTGTGTTAGATTAATAAGGTGTTTTCAACATTTATATCTGTCTTTTTCAACAATTCTTCAATTGATTCCCTTCTCTTCTTATAACCACTACTTTATAAAGATTGACAAATAAACAATGTCAAGTTATACTACTCCTTTATCCAAAACTCAATAAAAAAACATCAAAACTGTCAAAATTAAACCAGTTAAATTTGAAGCTTTCGGGTGAATCAGCAGGGTAAATAACTCAGATTATGATGTCATCCTGTTCCGCCTTACGACGACCGAGCGATGAATGCTCCCCGGACACAAATCATGCCCTATCTCTCGTGTATAGCTTGTGTGTCAAATAGATATCCAGGTCAGGTCTTTGGAATGAACGAAATGAAATTTAATAACAGGACACTTATTATTGGGGCAGATGGAGTGTTTTCATTTGACACAGTTTGCAAGCCCAACATACCTTTCCTGTATTTTAGCACACCCTGACACATACTTTTGACATATAGAGCTAACCCTCAACACAGCAGTGCAGACATTAAATGTGTTCTTAAATCAGAAAATACTACCTAATATTCCTGTTTGTTGATACATCTTAAACTCTATTAAATCATTACATTACATTTATTCCATATTTTGTTAATTGATATAGTTCTAAATAGAACAGGGTCACAAAGTAGAGATTCCAAAGCAGGTTTAGAAGAAATTCAGCCCTTTTGTTTCTCCATTCTTTATGATAGCATATACATATGCATTTGACATCACAGATATCTATTCATCTCTTTGGCTCTGTTCACTATACAACACAAAGATCTCCACAAGCATGAACTATTTCCAGGAGTAATTATGCTACGAGTATTCTAGTTTTAATTGTATTTTTGATCACTTCTGAATTTGACACTGATTACTTCATGTTTTGACACAGATTTCTGTTTGCCTATAAATTTTTTTAATTAAATGCCATGAAACGTTTCCCTCCCTTCCTAATTTTTTCAGGTGGGAATAGGAAACACAGTATTTCTTTATCTTGGCCTAATCAAAGCTTTCAGCCTAACTAATAAAAGACATACATCAAACCCCAAAAAATTTAAGGGCAACTAATACAAGAGAAGAAAATTTAGAAATGCTTACTATCAGCAAAATTTTAAAATCCTACTTTAAAATTATCTTATAATCATTCATATACTTATAGCAGTAATAAGAATCAATATTACGTAAAAAATCAACTATGGAAATTTTGCTGTATCATTTCCGTTACATAATGAACTAAATACCAGACAGGCTGTATATTACTGAACAACACCACGGCAGAGAGGGTGGGTCACAAGGCTGGGATTATATACCATGTTATTTTAATTTACAGGATTTAAGTCTTATACATCAAATCATTCAGAAGACCCAGACAACTAAGGAATAGGACCATAAGCCACTGATTATATTTAATCTCAAAAACTTCATAGACTCATAATATTTTTGTAAGATTGTCTCCTTGACATTTGTTTTTCATCAGTAAAGAAAGAAACTTTGTTTACCGACACCATGTATGCACTACTTGTAATTAAAAAAAAAAAAAAAAACTTATTGTTGAAAAAAATTAAGTCAGAAAGTAAAAGTGATATATCAATTTACTTTAGATATTAAGTTAAAATATTGATCTCACTCTCTGGAAATTCAGCACTTGAACAAATCTTGATGTTCAAATAACTTTATAATTCTCCCAGTTTGAATAACCGATTATCTATAGTCCTATTGGTTAGTCAAGTATGCATTGACGAACCAATTATCTTTAGTCCTATCCAGGTTAGTCAAGTCCTGTTGGTTAGTCAATCAAGTCCTATTGGTTAGTCAAGTTAATCCAGCAAACTCAGAAACCCTTTTTTCCCACAATATGTTTCTTTTCTCAGTAAAGGCTCCAGAGGTCATTTATAAATTAATTACTGGAATATGACAATAATAACTTTAATCAGAAGAATAATTTGACTGGCTCAGGTGAGCTTATCATAAAAAGGAGAGGACATTTTAAGTTTTAAGGACTTGTGCTCAATCCTTGTTGTAACATCTAAACAATAAAATATATTCACACCATAAAAAAATCAGAAGTAATATTATTAAAAGTACTCACTCTTGGTGTATTCTCAGCCTGCTTCAGAATCACGGTCTCTCGTCTGACTTTCTGGGCCTTCTGGTCTAAAATACAAAGGACTTCTTGATAAACATTGTCATCTTCATCATCACTCAAACTCTCGTCAAATCCTGAGGACCCTGAATCATTGCGGTCCCACCCCCCTCCCGAATCATTCCGGCCCCACCACCCCCATCCACACTTCTCATGGCCACACTCATTATTTTTCTGATCCCAAAAATCCACAGGATCAGATTTTATGTCCTCGATGATTTCATCCCAAAATTCATCGTCCCTCACAAACTCTGTAGGAGGAACAGTCCTCTTTCTATAACTATTCTGATCGTACTTATCGCAGTTCCAGTAAGGCAATATTTCGTGGAGAACTTGTGAGTTGTGAAAATTTGGTCTTATATAACGCTGTTTGTATTCCATTGTGTTAAATGATCAGTGTGGCAGCTGATCTGTGCTTTAAAATAACACTGCATTAATCAGCTACTGGTATATCCACGTGAATCACTGCGAAAACCGTCGACAGTCAGACGGCAGTGCCTTAATCCAAGACATTATCCACTGGCACATCGACAGAAAAACGTTATCCCAAATCATTAACACTTTTATAGCACATCAGGATCTTTTGAATATGAGGTACCCTTATAAATATAAAGTGGAAGATTTGGTCCCCAAAAAGATAACAGCTTTAATTAAATTGGGAGAGAAGTGGTCTTTTCCCTAAATTGACCATTAAAAGCGGGACATCTGATTAGGTGAATGGATAAGGTTTATCTCTTTCTAATCCTTAAATCCCCAGAAAAAAGATCTGTTTATTGTTTGTTTATTTTATCCTCACGATTGGCCTGTGGTTCTGAAGGGCACCTGTTGTATTTCTGTCAATTAGCCCGGACACAATGCCTGGACTTCTAGTCCAATACACATCATATAATTAATTCATTAAAGCATTAAAAACCTAATTAATCCCCACACAGCCCGACTGAAACTCCCGGGAAAGGTGTCAATTTCAATATTTTAATTTCACTTGACGCTATTAAACCCCTAATGGATTTGGAGTGTTTAGTTATAACTCAGCTTACCTAAGCACTCGATGCTCTCTTTCATAGAACACCAAACAATCACTTTAAAACTTACCTATTTATCAGGAAATAAATATTGCATTGTTTTTTGTTTTTTTTAAGGTTAAATTTTTTGGGGGTGGGTGGGGGGTGGGGTGTTGTTTTGATTTGTTTTTTGGAAGTGCCTTAGGAAACTAAAAACATGCTTATTAATTATCGAAGATTACATATCTCCTCTCAACAAATGATATCCTGAAGTAAACGAAAAGTCATACACTAAACTAATATTTATTGACTTGACATTAAACTGCATGTATGATAATTAAGTCACCACAGATGTTCAGTATCCCTGGCAGGGTAAAGCAGGGGCTATTTATTCATTTATCATCTATTTATTTTTAAGAAATAAAATAATCATACATTTTAAATAAGATTCAGGCCTGCCTATCTAAACTTTATTGCAGAAGTGATGACGATTTGAGGCTGGAAGCATGAAGTGAGCAAAAGAGAATGATAAAAAAAATCTCTATCACCAATTTATGATGAATCATACAACCTTTATCATCTCATTACCATATACAAATATTGTGGTAGTTTGTATCCCTTACAGTGAAATAATGGTTAAGTAATAATTTGTGGTCTGGGAAAGATTTCTTGTTAATATTTGGAAATGGACTTGCTCCAAAAGCAATCTGTGACATGCCAGCAAGATTCTGAATCCAAACCAACTCTGGATTGAGCTTACCTAAATACACCATCCAGGCAAGTTAGATCAGTATAGAGAATCCTGTGGATGAACCTCTATAAAAACTTGATTATTTCTGGATTTTTGTAAGGTATTATTCTGAATGGGACCTTTTATTTGGGTTGGAGAAGGGGAGGGGGTGGAATTCCAAATGGCATTGAAACTCCATAACACCATGCTAACCAAAATGACCCAGATAAGTAGGTCATGTACTGTGGCCTTTTTTTAAATTCGTGTTCAAGGTCTTGCTTATTTGAATAAACTATAAACTAATTATTCAAATAACGTATTATTCTTTCAAATTATTATGCCATGACCTTAATTTATCAACTCTTGCAATATGGGTTATTATATCTTTAAATTAAAAAAAAACCATAGTGAAAAAGTGATCCAACTAGAGCCGAGCTCGTTGCAAAGCAACGAGTAGGTCTTCCGTCGGAGCTGCGGACAGGGAGAAATGATCTTGGGTCAAGGTCATGCCACGTTCTAATGTTAAAGCAATTTTTTAAGGGTAGATGTCATCTTATTTATGTTTTACTATTAAATATGATAGTAAAGGAATGTTTGCGACCTTGACCTTGTTAAAATGACCTTACGTCACACCATGACACACGCTGGTGATAAGCAAAGCCATTTGTGTGCTACCGTATTGACGAATTCTTAAGCTATACTTTTTTCGATAGGCCTTGTCACAGCTAATACGTGTATACATGTGTAAATCTAGGTATGAAAGTGGTATCTTTTCTTTATCAAAAGTCATGGTCAATTTTAAGCAATGTTTAAAGCCGGTTAAACTTCAAGGTCAAAGTTCATTATATGCTAGTATTTGAAATGATCTAAAAACAGTTTATCACAGGTTACAATTTTTGTGTAATACGAAAACCCTATCTCTTCTCATTCAAAAGTTATGATCAAGATTAAAATTGTGAAAAGTAAGTCAAGCCTCAAGGTCACGTTGTCAAAATCAGCGTATCGGTATTTAAAAAAATGTTGTTACAGGTAATACACAGTGGTAAAATAAAAGCCCTAATCGATCTCTTTTCTCTCAAAAGGTATGACTATGGTTAATGTTTTTGAAAAGTGGGTCAAACTTCAAGGTCAAAGGGTCAAAAATCATAATGAATTTTCAAAGGCGTTGACACAGGTATTACATGTACATGTTTATAAAATGAAAGCTTTCAATAGTTATGGTCAATTTAAAGTAATGTTATTTTTTAAGTAGGTCAAGCTCCAAGATCAAGGTCACGGGGTTAAAAATCACAGTATATTTGAAAATCACATGTCACAAATAATGCACATGTGAAATAGGAAAGTCCTATTTCAACTCATTCAATAGTTATTATCAAGTTTAGGTTTAATGTGCCCTAATAAAAATAAATACACGTTATTTGAACATGATAAATTGAGAAATACGAAGAATAAACAAGAGGTCCATGGGCCACATCGCTCACCTGAGCACTGTGGCTTGGAAAAGGTAGAAAATTGGTTTATTATTGAAAAGTTTTAATCCAAAAGAAGTCCCATGACCAATCATGGCTTTACTATTCTTGAGAAGATGATTTTCAAAGAATTTTTCTATATATTTCTATGTAAAACTTTGGTCGGCAATTGTGGCCCCGCCCTACCCCTGGGGGTCACGATTTGAACAAACTTGAATCTACACTACCTGAGGATGCTTCCATATAAATATGACCAATCATGGCTTTGTATTTCTTGAGAAGAAGATTTTTCAAGAATTTTCCTATATATTACTATGTAAAACTTTGGTTGGCTATTGTGGCCCCGCCCTACCCTCGGGGGCCATGATTTGAACAAACTTGAATCTACACTACCTGGGGATGCTTCCATATAAATATGACCAATCATGGCTTTGTTCTTCTTGAGAAGAAGATTTTTCAAGAATTTTCCTATATATTTCTATGTAAAACTTTGGTTGGCCATTTTGGCCCCGCCCTACCCCCAGGGGTCATGATTTGAACAAACTTGAATCTACACTACCTAGGGATGTTTCCATATAAATATGACCAAACATGGCTTTGTTATTCTAGAGAAGAAGATTTTTAAAGAATTTTCCTATATATTTCTATGTAAAACTTTGGTTGGCCATTGTGGCCCCGCCCTACCCCCGGGAGTCATGATTTGAACAAACTTGAATCTACACTATCTGAGGATGCTTCCATATAAATATGACCAATCATGGCTTTGTTATTCTTGAGAAGAAGATTTTTCAAGAATTTTCCTATATATTTCTATGTAAAACTTTGGTCTGCCATTGTGGCCCCGCCCTACCCCCGGGGGTCAAGATTTGAACAAACTTGAATCTACACTACCTGAGGATAATTCCACATGAGTTTCATCTTTCCTAGCCTAGTGGTTCTTGAGAAGAAGATTTTTAAAGATTTTTCCTATATATTCCTATTTAAAACTTTGATCGGCCATTTTGGCCCCACCCTACCCCCGGGGGTCATGATTTGAACAAACTTGAATCTACACTACCTGAGGATGATTCCACATGAGTTTCATCTTTCCTGGCCCAGTGGTTCTTAAGAAGAAGATTTTTTAAAAATGCCAATAATTTTTCACTAATTCATAATTATCTCCCCTTGGAAAAGGGCGTGGCCCTTCATTTGAACAAACTTGAATCCCCTTCACCCAAGGATGCTTTGTGGCAAGTTTGGTTGAAATTGGCCCACCGGTTCTTGAGAAGAAGTCGAAAATGTGAAAAGTTTACGGACAGACAGACGGACAGACAGACAGACAGACGGACGCAAGACAAAATGTGATCAGAAAAGCTAAAAACTAGAAAATATTAGAAAAAAATTGCGCTGAAGCTATATTCAATATCCGTGTTTTTCAACTGCTTGAATCTAAAAATATTATTTACCGTGTGTCTCTAACACATTCCTTAAATTTTTCTACAGTTAAACATTCCTTACAACCGTTTTTAATAGTCCTTCTGAGCCTGAACTTGAGATAATATGGATGGCACTGTAGCTCTCTGGTGATCCATCTCAATTTTTTTTAGAACAGCTAGCGAGCTACAGATCTGCAGCATGACAATTGTCATAAAGTTAATTTTACAAATTCATTTGAAATGTAACAGAATTGAATTTTATGAAAAGAATTATTTCTAATGCTTATTTTTAACATATATGCTAAAATTATTTACCTATCAAGTTAAGTTAAGACAGTAAAAAGGAATTTGATACTCAGTATTTATCTAAGGAATTAGTGTCAATCCTCAATCTCA